AGAAAATATTATACAGGTTCCTAGGAAAAAAGAAGAAAATGTATATTGAATCGCTATAATAATACTTTTGTACTAGATTTTGCTAGTAAAATGCAATTCTTTTCACTCAAATTTCGGTTTTATAAATTCAGCCCCTATTTTTTATTAGCTACTCATCACTAGCGGATCCAGGATTAAATTTTTGGGAGGGGGCCTCAGCCGGAAAGCTTTTTTTTTTCATATTTATAACGATGATTTTTTTTTTTAATGAAGGAAATTAACTACCTATATGAAATAGTGTTTAAGTGATTCTTAAAGTTCTATTAAATGTAATTACTCGAAGAATAATACTTTAAGAGATAGTTTTTAATATTTTTTCTATAAAGCATGGTTATATTTTACCATTTTTGGGGGGGGGGAGAAGCTTCAGTGTGTTCCTCCTGCGCTACTCATTTATTCTTTAGGGACTGGATTTAATCCGTGCCAGATATTATTAACCCGCTTTACATAGTTGCTGAAAATCGAACCTGTTTTTCCAGTACAATAAACAGATGCTACCAACTACACCGCAGGGCCAATATTTTGATTTACTAAGATCAGTTGTATAAAAAAAAAAAATATTTATTTTTTATATATTTAAAACGTTGCATGAAGAATTTTCTCTTTTCTTTCGTTTAAATCTTACCAATTTATTTTTTAACTATATGTTAAAAGAATGGTTGAATAATGTATATCTAAACTATAAGTAAGTGACTTTATATATGTTTTCACTTATAATAATGGACTGATATTTTTCAACCCCGAGAACAATGAACTTACAGTTTATACAGATCATAAAAATATTAATGGCATGCAATAAAAGATTTTGCATACCATAACAAACCATTGAGTAATATAGAAATGAGGTATTTACATCGAACTATTAAAATACAATTCAATTTTCATCATTCAAGATCATTAATATTTAAACAATTTACAGGAAATAAATTTAATGAAATGTGGATTAAACTCAAAATAAATCAAGAAGACAAAAATAGATAAACTTAAATAGCAAATACAAAAATAAAATGAAAATGGCTGTTTTCTGCTAGTCTTCGTGAACTTCTTCATAATTTTTTTGTAGATTACAATATAATTTACAAACTATAAAAGAAAATTTATTTAAGAAATAGAAAAATTGTAGAACTCCTCTGACAATCGAGACCTAGCGCTTTTTTTTAGTTCAATCGGAATAATAAAGAAGATGAAGTTATATAAAATGGTGAATGATTGCTCTGCTTAATAATTTGTAAACATACTTCGATATAGCGAAAGTTTTAACTGGTATAAAGTAACAAGCCTTTGTACTTACCATGAAGCCATGACTCAAGCTCATCTACTGCAGATGCTTCTGATGAAGCTAACTGTGAAACCGGATGTCCTTGAGAGGCAGTACTGACGTATGATCTTCCTCAATAGTTTTGTTTGTACTAATGTTAACAAAAACATAATATATTTTATAATAATAATATTTCAAAATTGTCCAAAGAAGTTCAAAGCAGTTGAAAATTTGTATAATAGTGTAAATTTATATTATGTTTCAACCTATATAACGAATTCTTGACTAATGAAAATCTATGGAGACTTCAAAAAATGATATTTTGGGGCAAGTGATTATTTATTTGAAGATACTTCCTTCGTTAATGAATGCATTTGAAATCAATTAAATATTTAAACCCGATTATTCTGCTTTATAAGTTTAATGCGGTAAGTCTAAATGCCAATTTCAATATTTCTGCCCATACTTTTTTTTTTTTTTTTTTATGAATAAGATATTCGTGCTTTATAAAAGAACAATCCATATAGTCAGTCAGGAGGACTGATCCACGATTAGGAATGAAACCTTTGAATGATTATCACCTGCATAACTAATTGGAATTTTCCAGTATATTTACGAAACAAAACATAGAAAAATTCAGAAAAACTAAACAATTATTCATTAGTCATTGAAAACAGTTACCGTAGGACTTCTCACAATATTATATAGTATGCTAAATTTAGAATTATGGGCGATCCAGTATATGCATATATTACTCAATTTGTTTTTATAAAAAAAATACTAGTTTGTCAGTTTTGTTCAAATGAATCATACGTTTTTTCCTTTCCCATATTAATTCAAAATTAGTTATTTATGTAATTATTATTCATTCCATATTAATTAAACAATTATTTATTCATGTCAAAAACTAGAAAGAAATCAAGATTTTGTGAAATGTTGTTGCATGACTATGTATCAAAAGTAATAGTTTTATAATATAATGATTTATAATATAAGGGAGAAAAATAAAATAAAATAAACAGTAGCATTGTTACTCAGAAAAGAAACATTCAATAGTTAATTTCATTTACTATATTATTTATTTATTACCATACCACAATGAAAACTCTCACATTAGGTAGCTATCTATTTATGTGTAAGCGACATTAGCGAAATATGTATATTCCTATATACAACAAAACAAAATTTAAAGTAACAATTTACTTAATAAACGTTAGGTTAGGTTACGAGTTTTCTTAGGCGATCAACAACTTGGTTATTACGCCCTTGAGCTATGATGTTATTATTTGTAACTTATCTTTCTGAATGCAAGAAAAAAATATATATTTTTATGTATTTCATTAATTATTATAGTACAATTGAGTTTATTTTAAAAGTTTTATAATATTTTCTATTGAATTTACTGAGTCTTTTAATGCTAGTTATCGACAAGAGAGTAAAAGATTAATAATTAAATAATAATAATGATAATTCGGAAGTATCAAGAGCTTTCCGAGGAATTAAGGCAGTTATACCGCTGATGGAAATAAAAGTACTACCCATTATTGTATCGTATAAATGGCCTGATTCCTGAAGATACTCTAAAATCAATGAAGGTACTTGGATTAAGCTGGGAACTTCGGGAAATCCAGAAAGCGGTAATGTTGGGAACCGCCGGCATTGTTAAAAATTTTTTTTAATATTTCAAATTAAATATTCAAGAAACTGTACCATTGACCTCGCTCCGGGTCAGTGAATTTATCCGGCATGAAGCTGAGTATTGAAAAAATAAATAATAATAATTAAATAGTAATAATTAAATTAACATTAAATTTTAATTAATGAGTTATTAGCTTTTCCTAATACAAAATATCCTCCAGTTTCATAACTAAACAGTAAGGCATATAGCTATCCCTGAACATAAACATAATTCATTATTGTTCTCACTCAAGATCTGCTCGTTTGGTGCATCAGAGCCTTGTTTCGTCGTTCTCTCACTAAGAATATAAATGTCTATTACTGAGAGTATACAAGCTATACCAAGGTAAATATTTTTTAATTTATTAAATATATGAAAAAGTTTCTTTCTATATTATCGGAAGTCCCCAAGGGACCATAGAGGTATCCTCTTCCATCAAACCGTTTTAATAGATCTTTAGTTCGTTAAGGCTTTCATAAAAAGCAATATTTTAATTTTTAAATCCTAAACAAAGCATAATAAGTGATAAGTATCCCGAGACGACCAAACACCCAAGAGACCTTCGACGAGAATTTCGATTTATCTACAAAATGGACATTTTTGGGTTTTAAACGCAGGACCCATAATTCCATTGAAACTAAACCGGGTCTTGATATCCGCTTCGAAATCTTTAGAACAGAATATATCCTGTCTCAATTTTATCTTAGATACCCATACAAATATTTTTCTTAGTATTTTAATACATAAACTCTTCACATTTTTTAATCTTTTACTCTCTACCTGGCCATTTATAGCAACCGTTTTTGTTTTCTCTTTAGAAACAAAAACGGTTCGGCTATACATGGTTTTCCCGAGTTAGAGGAGTGGGCGAGGAATTAATACCAGAGTTAAAACCCCCCCCTGCACCGAAATTTGAATTCGTAATTTTCAATCTATCAGGTTACTGAGAAATGCAAATTTTGCAAAGGCGTTTGCCCGATCGGTCACCACATCATTCATGCAGGAGGTTTAAGGCTACTACAATCAGAGTAAGATATGTCTCGCCGTTATGATGTGCCTGTCGGCGGAGATATGATTATATGGTTGTATTACTATCTGTTGCATTATACCAGGAAAACAAAGCGCGATAATCCACAAAGTTTTTTTTTTTTTTTTTTTTGTTTTTTTTTTATCGATATTGACAAAGGGATGCTGTATCGCAGGAACATATAGCATTCTGTGAGCTTTCTACAGAAATAACCAAGCTATTCTATCTAGAGTGAAAGGTCGAGATTTATTTCGCGGTCTGGCACCTCTGAATTCGAGGTTGCTATAGCACATTAAAACCAATTATACTTATTCTGAAAATCATTGAAACATTCAAAATCGCCTAATATTATTCCATATTCTCTAAGAAATCATTCATTGTATTATGAATGTACTTTTGCAATTTGATATATTGCATTAATTAGCATAAAATTTTCTAATATCCTTAACTGATAAAAATATCGCTACTGTTAGAGCAAAAGGTGGTATGTAACGTGTTTACCTGTTTATTCTCTTTGCGCTACAGGTTACATTTTGTAGTCTGCAACTGTCATAAGTATTCTGCTAAATAGAAAAATAGCAAAGGGAAATAAAATATATGAAATTGTAGTAATAAACTATAAAGAAATGATCGCTTCTTCTTTGACAAAAATTTAATTTTTAGATACAACCTTTTGTACTAACACTAGCAATATTACTATTTATGCTAAACACAACGATAGAAAAGTAGTTAAATTTTATTAAATTAGTGTAAAAAACGGTACAATCTGTAGTACCTCTTTGGTTTATCGAAGATCAGCGTTCGTTACTGGTTATCTTGACATAAAAACATTAATTTTATTTAAGGAGGTAACACTGATGTTATAAGCAGTACTATTATCATCACTGATGAATGATTATAGATATTAAGGTATAGATATTAAGATTGTAGTTACTGGATTTGCTCTCTACATTAATCCAGTGTTTCTGTTTATGTGATAATTTAACTACTGTGATAAAATGGATTCGCCAATGTCTGAAAACAATGAAGACCAACAATATCCTAGAAGGTGGAATCATATAAGGAAAATTTTAGAAAGAGCAGGACCTTTCTGTCACCCGAATTATGAAGCCTCTCCAGAAGTTCTTAACTTTGTCATGACATCCTGTAAAATTCTTGTAATTGGTGCAGGAGGCCTGGGCTGTGAATTACTTAAAGATCTGGCTCTGATGGGTTTCCAGAAAATTGATGTTATAGATATGGATACTATTGATTTATCGAATTTGAATCGGCAGTTTTTATTCAGAAGGAAAGATATTGGGCAATCAAAAGCAGAGGTAGCTGCAAATTTCATCAACTCAAGGATTCCTGGGTGTAAAGTTACACCGCATTTTAATCGCATCCAAGACTTTGATGAAGATTTCTACCGCCAATTCCATATTGTTGTGTGTGGGTTAGACAGTATAGTTGCTCGTAGATGGATAAACGGAATGTTGCTTTCAATGCTTTCTTATGAAGAAAATGGAGAACTTGATCAGTCGACACTGATTCCAATGATAGATGGAGGGACTGAAGGTTTTAAAGGAAATGCCAGGGTCATTCTTCCCGGAATGTCTGCTTGTGTTGATTGCACCTTAGATTTATATCCACCACAGGTTTGTATATATTTACTCCTTACTCAACTTCTTTCTATAATGCTTAAAATAATACTTATAATTAATATAAATATAATTATGATTTAAACTTATTTTTTTAACCATTTTATTGTATTACAGTTTAATTTTCTGAGAATTATAAGTTTATTTTGGAAGTGAAGAGAGGTGTTAGTACAGTATTATTTTTGTATGATAATTAGTTTATTAATATGTAATTACTCTACATGAGAAAAGTAATTTTGTTGGGTCTCAATGATAAATCAATATGCTACATCGCCTATCTTTGTGGGCTAATGTCGAAGAATGTCAAAAATTATTTCTTTTTCAAGCTTGTTAAGGCTCTTTCAGACCTTTTAAAAATGAGATTTATAAAATTATGCATGTTAAGTTACTTCTATCTACCTACCTATTGTTTCTGAACTTATTATTTTTTTGTACACTGAAAACCTAAAAACATATTTTAAATGTCTCTATTTAGTTTAGTGTAATTTTAATTATTGCATCTGACTTATGATTTAATGGAAACAATCATGATCACAATATGGTTGTTTTTATTGTAGAAGAGCCACAATTCATCTTTTCATGATATTTAGGGTAACAAAAAATATATAAGTATTTTTGTTGTAATAGTTCATTTTTGTTTTAGGTTACTTACCCACTTTGCACAATTGCTAATACGCCAAGACTTCCCGAACATTGTATTGAGTATGTAAAACTTATTCAATGGCCTAAAGAAAATCCTTTTGATTGTGCTATTGATGGGGATGATCCTCATCATACTAATTGGATTTACGAAAAATCTCAAGACAGAGCTAATCAATTCAATATTCCTGGTATTACTTACAGACTTGTTCAAGGCGTTATTAAAAATATCATTCCTGCTGTTGCTTCAACAAATGCCATTATTGCTGCTGCCTGTGCAACAGAAGTTTTTAAAATGGCTACTAGCTGTTGTTTGCCACTAAAAAACTACATGGTTTTCAATGATTTAGATGGTATTTATACATATACGTACGAAGCAGAGAAAAAAGAAGATTGTTTAGCTTGTTCTAATGTTCCTAAAATATTAGAAATTGAAAACGATAACTTAAAACTTCAACAGCTGATTGATATCCTTTGCGAAAATGAGAGCTATCAAATGAAAAATCCTGGTTTGACAACTGTTCATGATGGAAAGACATTTACGCTATACATCCCCACTGTAAAAAGTATTGAAGAAAGAACTAGAGAAAATTTGAAAAAAACTCTATCAGATTTAGGACTGAAAAATGGTTCAGAGATACTGGTTGCTGATATTACAAATCCAAATACTCTTATATTTTCTTTGAAATTCAAATCTCATTCTTAAATATTGTATTTTATATTTTATATTGTAAAATAAATGCCTTTATTTAATTGTTTATTTTTGACATCAAGGTGATGTCCAGTATTTTTTTTTTTTAATTTTTATTCACATCATGCTACATTGTTTTTAAAAAATTTTATGTACAAGAATATTTATTTATTGTTGGAAATATAAATTAAAAAAAAAAACTACAACTACAAGCCATGAAGGATATTTGGTTCAGTAGTTTGTTTGGGAAATTCTGTTTCAAGGCCAATGGTTGTGGAGGGTGATGATTGGGCCAGGATCACGCTTAACCCCTACGTTTTCCCTATTAATTATTTAATTAAGAGTACCCACTGTATAGAGGCTGGGTATGCCCCCAAGATGACCTCCAGACCCCAGAGTCGATCCACAGCTGATGAAAAATTACTTGACATCAACCTGATTCGAACCGAGGCATTGAGCTTGCAGCCGTGCCTAACTCTCTGAGTTACTCCAACCCCAAATACAAATAATTATATTAATTTTAGTTCATATTGTACCATATGATTCATACCATGGAATACATGGAGTACCGGGCTTAGGACTGATGACCCTACCCCGTGTACTTAATCGGGATCGGGATGTGGTCTACCAGGATGTTAGTAGCCCCCCTGAGGTTCGGTCCTTGGACAGTCTGTTTCGGGAAAAGAAATATAGGTCCTCGTGCGCCTGCTGACTCCAAGCAGGCATAATCCATGAACTAGATTGATTTGTCACTGCCCTTGAACCCGAGTGAGTCGGTGGGAAGGACACTGACAGATTGGCCCCAAAGGGATCGGCTATGGAGCTACGGGTGACCTGCAGCTGCACCATGGTGATTATATATAATTTTATTACAGCTCAGTTTCAAGATTGTGGATAACCTTTTAATGTTACTAAAAACCTTCTTCCAGCTCTAAATAACAACTATATAATGTTTTGAAGTGTATAAATCATTTATTTTCAATCCTCTATATTTTGTTTTAAGGTTCTGTTTTCTCTTAGAAAAAAAGACAAAAATCCAAACAGACAGATAACAATCTACATGTCATTTTATATAAAACAAAATAAATTGTGGGTATTAAATATATTGTTTTGTATTGATTTTTAATTAATGATTTCTGCTTGATTAAACGAAAAACTCATATAAGGTAAAAATAATAAATGCATAAAAAATACTCAATTTAAATAATTTTTATTAAATATAGTTAATAAAAAAATATATACATAATAACTTAAACATAAGCAAATACAACAATTTTTATCGTTTTAAGATTTCGATGAATGTTTCGCGTGGTAAAGCAATATTTCCAATCATTCTTAACTTTTTCTTTCCTTCTGCTTGTCGTTTCAGCAATTTCATTCTTCTGGTAACATCACCACCATACTTAAAAAGAAAAAGGAAATATTAACGTAGTCTTAAATCTATATATCCTGAATATTTATATAATAAAAACCTCTGTGTATTGGATATTTTTCAGAAATTTTAAATATATTAATTTTTATTTTCACTTACTCCTATATAAATATAATGATGTAGAGATGGTTGACCGTGATATAACATGAGAAGGAGTTGGTTGGGGAGATGCCGTGAAATACATAATAAATTTTTAAAAAATACTATTTTTAATTGTTACACCAAAGGTGTAAAAATTAAAAATACAATTTTTAAAAATTTAATATTTATTTGACCGCACCCCCCGACCAACTCCTATATAAATATACAGTAAGGGATAGTATTTAGGGAAACATTTTGAATCGGAGTTTTTAATGGAAATCATTAAATGTCAACATGTTTAAAGGTCTTTGTTTGTGTGTATATGTGACTAAAACAAAAAGATCTAAAATGTTGAAATTACATATTTAAGTTAGATATATACCTGGGTTTACAGCAACCCTTTTGCTAAAACTCAACACAAACACCATTTTATATCATTGATTTGGGTATTTAATATCAATAAGATCTTATCCTCGTTGAAGTGATCTGACAACCTCGTAAGTTTTTAGTATTTAAATGTTTAGTTGGGTTTTGAAGTAAAATGAGTCAAAATTTGTTTTCATAATTTTAAAAATCAATTTAAAAGATTTATGAACCATCAAAAAAAAAAATATACTGTGATAGACAAATAAAATAAATAGATAATAAACTTTTGAAAATCAATTCATATGGCAATTAAAAAATAATAATAATTATAATATAAATACCAATTTTGCAGTAACATCTTTTCTATAAGGTTTTATATTATCTCTTGCGATAATCTTTCCACCTACTTTTGCTTGAACTGCAATCTGTAAAGATAATAACTTAAATTGATACCATCTTCTAGCCATGCGATAACACAAGTAAATAGATATAGATCAGGATCCATTACAGTAATTTATTGAAAAAGGATAGATAGTTAATAGAAACTTATAGATACATCAAGTTTCATTTAGGTATAATGCAAAAAAAATACAATAAAAAGTATCAATTACACAATGAAGTTTGTGAATCAATAAAGTCACATTAATATCTCTGTAGTGACTAATTCATTATTAGTTATAATGATACTATTGCAATTGAATATATTTATACTATGACTCGAATTATGTAACTATTAGTTAATTTTTTTTTTTTTTTTTTTTTTTCCTTTTTCTCGCCTCTACCCTAAAGGGTCATTGGCGTTTTCTATGATTTATACTCTGTTATAGTAGTTTACAATTTTTAAAAAATTTAACACTATGAGACTCTTTCTTCATTGTCTTTTAGTATTTCTTTTAGTGTTTTTCCTAGTTCTATTTTTTCTCTGAGCCTTTCGAATTGGGAACATTCTACTAGAAGGTGTTTCACAGTTTGCGGTGTATTGTTACATTTCTCGCAAGTAGGAGCTTCTAGACCTCTTAAAAGATAGCCATGAGTGAACTGGCAGTGCCCAATCCTTAGGCGACATAGTATAATTTCTTCACGCCTAGACTTTCTGTTGCTAGTGAGCCATTTATCGCAATTGGGTTTCACTTCTTTCAGCTTACACTCTTTGATCCTCCACTCTTTTTCCCACTCTGCCAGTTGTTTTTTCTTTATTTCGTGTACCCAGTCTTCTAAAGTGATATATAATTTAAAAAATATATATATATATAAAATATCATTTCAGTATATATAAATTGAAAAATCTTTAGAATGCTAGAATGCTCTACAGGAGTTTCCCATCTTTTTATAAGATACTGTATATTAGTTTTGGAAAATTGTCTGTAGCGATTAATAAGTATGCTGTGTTTGAAGCAACCCAATGTAATTGGGCAGCACCCTTTTATGATAATAAAGTGATTCTCTCTCTCAAACAAAAAACTGCGTGCTATACTATGGATTACTTGGGTTGGGTATCCCTGCTCTACAGCAGAAAAAAGTTATTTTACAAAGGGAATTATAAAATGTTTAATAATAAAAAAAAGTAAAATAATATCTTATTAGTTTAATAAACTGACTGTGATTATGAATAATTCTTTAATTTAATTTACAGATAGGTTTTATATATAATAATAATAAATAATAAAAGGCTTAGCGAACCCGAAGGTTCGATGCTGGCACCACCAATTGCTTATTACACACCTCTCTCCACTGTTCACCGTTTAAACCCAGTCCCTTCAGATTGGCTTTAATGTAATCTTCTCACCTTTGCTTCGGTCTACCCCTCGGACGTTTACCATTCGGTACAGCAAATATTAACCTTTTAGGAATTCTCTATACTAAGCCCAACAATTTTACAAGCCAATCTGATTTGCAGTGATAAAATCACCTCAATTATATTACCTGCATAAAGTTCATGCAATTCGGCGTTGTGTAACCATCTGAACTCTCCGGTTAACTGATCCTTCTTCGGTCCGAATATTTTAAGCAATACTTTATTTTCAAAAACCTAAAGACGCTGCTCATTCCTTAATGTAAGCGGCCATGTTTCGCACCCATAAAGAACTGTAGGTAAGATAATGGTTTTATAGATTCTTATTTTTAAGTTCCGGGACAAGAGGAGCGAGCTAAGTAGTTTTGTCACAGAAAAATAACAAGCACTTCCGCCCTTCAGTCTAACCTTAATCTCTTCTTCAATTTCGTTTTTTCTAGTTATCGTAGACCCTAGATACTTAAACTTCTCTACCTATTCAAACATATTACCATCTATATCGATATCACCATTTTTGCAGCTAACTATATATTTTGTCTTATCCGTGTTTATTTCGAGCCCTAGTTCTTTACGGGCTTTCATTAACGTTGTCGTATTCAGTTTTATAGTTTCCTGCATGGGTGTTGTCCCAACCAGATCCAACCCTTTTGCGGTATGCATTACCTCCCTAATGGCATGTTCTAACGCAAAATTGAAGAGAACAGGCGAAAGGGAATCACCCTGTTTTAAACCCGAACGAACCTCAAACTTTTCGGACAAATTATTACCAATTCTAACTTTATTGAATGTTTCCGTCAAGCACATCCTGACTAGATTTACTAGTTTTTTTTGGAATCCCCTGCTCGATTAGAATATTATACACTTTCTGACAGTCAATAGAATTGTAAGCCTTTTAGAAATCGATATATAGTTGTACTCTAATTTTTTCTCTAATATTTGCCATAAAGAAATATTTGATAAATAGTCGAACAATTCCGTCTAAATCCGCATTGGTACTCTCTAATTTCCTCGGCGTATTCTGTGATTCGACTAGTTAAGATTAAAGTGAATATTTTATAACATACTGCAAGGAGTGAAATTCCTCGATAGTTATTACAATCCGTCCTTGGGCCCTTTTTGTGAATCGGAATAAGAATAGATTCTTTCCATTCCTCAGGTAATTTCTCATTCTCCCAGATCTTTTTAACCAACCGATGTATTTTAGAAACTTCAGCTTACCGGCATGCCTTAATTAGTTCAGTAGGAATATTATCGTTCCCGCTGCTTTATAAGATTTTAATTTTCCGATAGCTACTTCAACTTACTCTTTACTTGGTTCTCCTATTAACGGTTTGGCACTCTGGTACTCAGAAGGAGGATACAGATCATAATTTTCTGTATTCAAAATATTGTCAAAGTGGTTCTTAAACTTATTTAATATGTCAATCGGATCGGTCAGGGAATTGTTATATTTTACATATATATACATTTCTCTAACTAACATAATTAAATTCTAGGGGAAAGAAGAAATATTAATAACATTTTGTCAAATTATTACACTGATAAATGTTCAAATTAACTACTACAAAATAATATTTCAAATTTGTATAGTTATTTATAGTTATAGCCGACTGATGTTATGAAGATAAAAAAAAAAAAAAAATGGTAGTTTTTACCTGAAACTGTTGCCTCGGAACTATCTCAACAAGCTTATGACACATTCTTTTCCCCAAATCAACAGCTCTAGATGAGTGAACTATACTACTCAATTCTTCTACTTCAATTCCATTTAATAAAATGGCAATCTAGAAAAATATGAATAGATTTAATTTTGTTATGGTTCGCCATTTCATCAGCAAATATCTTTACAGCCTTCCTTAATGCTGACTAATTTTTAATTATAATTATAACAGACAAAATTTGTATGGTTTTTATATTAAATTTCACAAACAAGTTCCTTTATTTAGAACAATTTAAAAAAGATAATGGTTTAATCTTTTTTTTAAATATGACCTATGTAGATACTTGAAGAGAGGCATATGCTCAAAAAGTTTATTGCCGTTACTTTGGGAAAAAAACAACAAATATTGTGCATAACAGAACAGAGCAACAAATAAAAGAATAAATAATATATAAGTATAATGATAATTTTGTATCTAAAATGATACATACTTTGACAAGATTAGAAGGTATATATCCGGCATCTTCATAATCAAAGGAGGCAAATCCTGAACTTACTGACTTCAGTCTGTCATGAAAATCCACAATAATTTCACTTAAAGGAAATGTAAACTTCAAAAGAACCCGTGAATTATCAATATTTACAGCTGTCTCCTGTTGCCCACGTCTTTCCATGCATAATGAAAGTACACTTCCAAGATATGTATCTGGAGAAAAACATAAATATTTAATAATAAATGTTTAAAAAATTCTTCATTGAGAGAGACAATAAAAATATTTTTAAATTAATGGCTAGCATTAATTCAGTGTAACCTAATCTACATTATATATAATTTGGTAGTATAGATCTGTTTTCCACCCTTCAAGATCAATGGATTTAGATGAACAATGCATAAAAAGAAAGGGAATTTCATAGAGAAATGATGAATCCCTACATTGATCCTTAAATCCCTTCGACTACAATAAAAATTGTTTTTATTCCCTACATTGTAAAGCCCAAAAATGTCCTGATAAGTCGTAATTCGTGCTGAATGCCACTTAAGTGCTAAGGTTGCCATAGGATACTTATCACATGTTTAGATTTTAAAAATTTAAATATAGATTTTTATATTAGTCTTTGACAAACTAAAAATCTATTAAAAACATAGATAGAGGAGCTCTATGATCCCTTAAGGACTTCAGATAATACAGAAAAAAAATTTCATATATTTAATCAATTTAAAAAAATGTATCCAGAAATAGCTTCTATACTCTTAATAATAAACTATTATATTATTAGTGAGACAACTACAAAGAATGGCTGCATGGCACCAAACAAATAAGTCTTGAGCTAGAACAATAAGAGATTCATGTAAGTTCAGGAATAGCTGTGTCATATTGCTTAACTATTAAACTGGAGAGATATTTTTCAAAAGAATACCCTCATCGCTTAAATTGCCAATTTAAATTTTGTGAGTTGAATTGACTATCTTGATAATATTATATATAAACATATTAGCAATAAACATGTTTTGTTAATGTCATTTATATGTCGACTGCATTAGGAAGAGGGATCTAATGTAAGGTGACCAGATTTTAACATTGGTAAAGCGGGACACTTAACAGGGAGGAATATGGGGAGGGGAGAGGGATTAATTGGTAAAGTGGGACAACATTGACCTTGGGGGAAAGAGGGATTAGTTGTTAAATCGGGAAACTATTGAGGGGAGGAGAGGGGATGGTTCTTGATTAAAAATTTAGTTCATTAAGTCTAAACAATGGAGGCAATGGCTGGGGTGGGCGAGCGGGCTAACGTGTGTGCACAGCGCTGTGCGTTGCCTGTCAACCTGATAAACAAAGTTTAAGCACGAGTTTGCGTCTCAGTGCTAGTGGTTTTTAACTCCTTAACTGGTTTTTAATCATGGTGCCAGTTTTGAACTCTGGTATTAATCCCCTACTCTCACCCCCTGGCCCAATCATTCGTTACTATTAAAATTTAACATTATAAAATCAATAAAAATAATATAAAACTCATATCTTTTCGAAATGGCTATGTGGCCGCCTAAAATATTCTCTTCCTATTCTCTGATATTCCTTAGCTTGTCTTATATTCTTTCCAAAAACTGGGATTTTTGAAAATGCTGAGGACACAGGTCAAATTGTTTGAAATCAGGGCGTCTGGTCACCTTAATCTAATGTGAAAATTCTAACTTGGTTATACTAATATTGTGAATACAAAAAAAAAAAAAAAATGACCATTTTTCAACCAAATATTTGTATCATTATTTCTTTGATATAAAATACAATTAATACTCTAAATATTAAGTAGCCCATTGTTATCTACCGTCATTAGCTATCTGCTAGTGGCCATGGATCTAAATAAGTAGTAATCCAAAGGTGCAAGGTCTGGACTACATGGTGGATGAGGCAGGAGTTTTTTAGGCAAGGGTTTTTTAATAAATTTTCACAAATTTCTAACCACTTAGCTGATTGCTGAGGAATAAGTTTTTGAGGGATCAGCCTACTGCTCTTTTTCACCTTCCCCATAGAGAGTAGATGGCGACTAACAGTATTTCTTGATACACCACATTCCCTGGCTAGTTAGTGAGTACTTGTGGACGGATTTGACTCAACAGCTTCCTGCAGAACCTCATCAATATCCATTAATGGTCGCCCGGAGCCCTTCTTCCTTTCCAACATCATATCTCCACTGCTAAATTTTTCAAACCAACGCCACGCTGTGTGCTGGTCAAGGACATCTTCCTCTTCATATTTAATAATTTCATGAGTTGCTTTAGTGGCTGTGAAATTTTTTTTCCAGTAATGCCTTAAAATAATGGGAATTTCCATAGGACACTGTCATGTTTCTTCTTTGAAACAAATAACTAAATGAAGGCTTTTTTTGAATGGGATCAAACAAGGTTAGAGAATACTCTAAAGGGATTATTAAGTATTAAATAGGATAAAAAGATTTACAGTCCTTTGAAATCTTGAATTTGATAAAACGGTAATTTTTTTAAACAGCCTATTGTTATTAATAATTTTGAGAAATAAATTATAATTATATAACATAAATTTTCTATTTTTGGGGTTAATTGGAACTATAAAAAAATATTTCAATAAAAGATATAAATTTGTTTTCTTCAATACAACACAAGAGGAATGTTTGAATAATAATTCACAAAATAACAATAAAGAATACTGACCTGGAGTAATGATGGTAGCTTTGACAATTGGTTCATACATCTCAGTAATAATGTTAGGATCAGGAAAAGTAGCAGGATTACTTATATGTAACTCGCTTCCTCCAAGAGCTGATATATTTTTAGATCCCTTTATCACAACTGTTGAGATATTAAAGGTATATTTTATTCACTTATTTTTTATAAGCACATTTTGTGTAATAAATGGATTTTAAAATCGTTTTAGTTCAACCGTACCAATCATAAAAATGAAATCAAGGAAAGATTGAGAATTGTTAACATTTATTCAAGAATTATCAGCATTTAATTGGATAAAAATCGATAATAACACTAATGGAAATTCTAAATACATTTATTAATAAGAAAACTAAGAATTACAAACAGAATAAAAAGTTAAAATGAGAACTTATAATTTAAATATGAAATTTAGACTAGAGAATATATAATGTTTGATGTATATATACAGTATAAGAAGTATTAAGTTTAGAATAGAACCTTCAAGAAAAGATTTGTAAAATGAAAAAATAAGATTCTTTCTAAATAACTGAAATTCATTTTGAATAACTTTTCACTTTCCTACCTATACTAGGTAAATATTCCTTACCTAGTATAGGTAGGAAAGTATTGCAATTGGGTCAAATTTCCGACATGTGGTTTTCGACGGATCTATACGTTTCAGAGCCCCCTGAGTCCGCCGAGGAAAAGACGCCATTTATCCTATCGTTTGAAAGGTAATGAAATTTCCTACAAAGCCATATAAAAATCGTTCATTTTGGACAACTATTAACGAAGTTAAAGCTATTCAATTTCCAATGTAAGATTACGGTTTCATATCCTGGTGTCAGAAAGGGGTGAATGAGAGAATAAAGATGACTAAGTGAAAGTAAGAAAATCTGTTGCCTGCATCACACAATCTTCACTATTTCCTCTACTTTTAACAGAAATTATTGTTTGACAATACTAAGCTATGGCAAAAAGTTTTTGATCAGCAATATTAGGAAGTATTGAAATTTTTACACTGATCTACCTTAAGCCGGTTTACATTGCTTTAGTTTATCAAATAAATCGTACTCAAATCTTATGTTTGATCAATTTTCAGGAAAATGTATCTAGTTCAATTCTTTTTTGTTTCTTCATGAACATATGTAAAGATATAAAAACTTTTCTGAAATAGGTAGGAAAGTCGTGTGAGTGGACACACCAAATATTTTTTTTTTTGTTATTAACATTTACAACTGTATATGATAAATACAACTAGTAAATATGAAATAAGTAACTTGACATGTACAATACGAAGAGAAACTACCCATTGTTAGCACTCCATTGAATAACGTAAAATTTAAAAGAAATAAGTAATATATAAAAAGTATGGACTATTCACATAATAATGAATTATCTGTGGAAGAAATATGCGTATTAAGGAATATTTTTTTTTTTCTCGATTACTCCTTACCTCACCATTTGTGGCTTACAAGATGGGGGAGGGGTTTCTAGAGGTACATTGAAACCTATTCTAACCGGAGTGGAAAGGTCAAGATTCATTCCATGAGTCTGCTACAAAATAAATTTCAACCCTTCGAGACCAGAACGGCATCACTAGAAACGAGAACGTTGATATTTATGCCTTGACACGCACACCGATCATGACCTCGATAAGCATATCATTACGAGCACACGATAATCATCATCTAATTAGTACTTTAAGTATGTAAAAGTTACAATTTGAAAATTTCAATAAAAAAAAAATAGCATTAAAAAAAATATTACCTTTATAAGTGACATTAGGTGTAGTAAGAATAGCGTGTGCACCGTACTCTTGTTCAAGCCTTTGTGAAAATACTTCTAAATGGAGCAAGCCTAGAAATCCCAGCCGCCAACCTTGTCCTAAGGCTGGGCTGAAAAAAATTACGTATACATAATTTCTTATGAAAAAAGTTCAACAATCAGAAAAAACAAATATTCATAACGTTTACATTAGGATTTTACAATTTATTAATTAAAACAGATATAAAACAGGTTAACTTGACCAGAACAGATATAGACATCAAATTCCTAGATAACTTAAAAACTTTAACAAACCAAATTTAAATCAATACTTCATACTTATAATAAGCTGTTATAGTATTGACAATCAAATTAAACTAAATAGTCTGATGGCTTTGGTGAAAAATATCTGAGAAAAAAAAAAAAAAATTTTTTAAACATAATTTTAATAAAAACTGGTCAAAGTCATGGTTTATTTTCAAAAAAAGCAATGGTGGATAGTGTAAACAAGGCGAGCCTTTCAAAATAGTTTTTTAATCTCCAATAAAGTTGGGATCCCAAAGATCGATATTTTTTAAAACAATAATAATAATAATAATAATAAAAGGCTTGGCGAGCCCGAAGGTTTGATGCCAACACCACCAATCGCTTATTAAAAACCTCCCTCCACCATTCGCCATCCAAACCCAGTCCCTTCAGATCGGCTTTAATGTAATCTTCCCACCAACGCTTCGGTCTACCCCTCGGACATTTACCATTCAATACAGCAAATATTAATCTTTTAGGAATTCTCTCGTTACTAAGCACAACAATTTTAAAAGCCCATTTGATTTGCCGCAATGAAATTACCTCAATTATATGACTCAGATACAGTTCACGCAATTCGGCGTTGTGCAACCGTCTGAACTCTCTGGTTAACTCATCCTTCTTCGGTCAGTATTTTCTTCACAATACTTTATTTTCAAAAAACCTTAAGACGCTGCTCATCCCTTAATGTAAGTGGCCAAGTTTTGCATCCATAAAGAACTATAGGTAAGATAATGGTTTTATTGATTCTAATTTTTAAGTCCCGGGATAATAGGTGCGAGCTAAGTAGTTTTATCACAGAAAAATAATAAGCATTTCCCGCCTTCAGTCTAACCTTAATCTCTTCTTTAATTTTTGTTTTTTCTACTTATCGTAGACCCTAGATGCCTGAATTTCTGTGCCTGTTCAAACATATTACCATCTACATCAATATCACTAGTAGTATCGCCATTTTTGCGCACATATCGCCATATATTTTGTTTTATCTGCATTTATTTCAAGCCCTAGTTCTTTACCGGCTTTCATTAACGTTGACCTATTTAGTTTTATAGTTTCCATGTCTTCGCTTAAGAGTACCAGATCATTATCATTGCCCAGCACAGATGTTGTCCCACCAAGATCCAACCCTTTTTCGGTACGCATTACCTCCCTAATGACATATTCTAATGCCAAATTGAACAGGGCAGGTGAAAGGGAATTCCATTGTTTTAAACCCGAACGAACCTCAAATTTTTCGGACAGATTATTACCAATTATGATTTTATTGAGTGTTTCCGTCAAGAACATCCTGACTAGATTTACTAGTTTTTTTGGAATCCCCTGCTCGATTAGAATATTATGAAGTTTCTGGAGGTCAATAGAATCGTAAGCCTTTTTGAAATCGATATACAGCTGGTGAACAATACCGTTAAACTAATTTTTTCTCCAATATTTGTCATAAAGAAAATATTTGATCAATATCCGAATGATTCTGTCTAAATCCGCATTGGTAGTCTCCAATAATTTCCTCGGCGTATTCTGTGATTCGACTGGTTAAGATTAAAGTGAATATTTTTTAACATTTTTTTTCATAAAGGACATAAATATCAAAAGTATTGAGTCCAGAATTATTTATATTTCCCTATGAATAAATATAAACTAAAATACCTGGAATCGATAATAACTGATACAGCACTATCATTAAGGGTCAACCTTTCAATGGCTGATCTGAGAAGGGGATGCTGTGATTGATCAAGCGGGTAAACTCCAGCAAACACCATTGGTTTTGATTTCATGAGTCCTGGAAGAGCTTCTGCTGGATTTTCTGTCAACACTACTGTATCACCCATAATAGCATCTTTACGGTCACGCATATTACATGTTACAAAACCAACCTGCCCAGCAGCACTAGAAATAAATACATAACATTAAAAATCCAAACTACATGAAGTATAAGGTAGAATTGTATTAAATATAAAGTTAACTTTCAATACACCTCCGAATAATCAAGTTCTAAAATATGAGTTAAATTTAATGTTATGTATACTTGTTTACATTACAAATCCAAATTTATAATAGCCTTTTGTATATTGCTGTTTGTTTTCAATATTTTGATTTTATTTAGATAAACAAGAATTGTTCTCAAGAGTAGCAAAATACCTTAGTTTTTAATCTTTGAAATAATTCACTGTGAAAACAAAAATAACCAATTCTATTTCAAAACCATTTAATTATTAATTGTTAGAATATATTAATCCGTAGACAGTAATTCATACCCTCCCAGATATATATTATTACTAGTGTTAGCCCAGTGGTTGAATTCAACCATTATAAAATATGAGGAAAAAATATAATTAAGCAAAGAATAAATTCAATACAAAAAGATAAATCACACTTTAAAAATCCTCATTTATTAATAAAAACAAAATTTCTATTTCAATTATTTATAAGTAGTATAAAAATGAACTCATACTAAAATATTTAATTTCCATTTTGATTAACGTATGTTATTATCAAAATAAATTAATGTTATGATTAAGGAATTAAAAAATAAATTTAAATTAGCAATTTCAATTCAGTATAAATCAATTTTTATGCAGAACTTCTCTGTAAACAATGTTCTTTGTCAATGTTCCGTTATTATTTAGTAAGTAGTCTCGTCCTTGCCATTGGGAATACAAAATTTCAAATTTTCGAACATATGTGCTCTATTTGCTGTCACGTATAACTGTCCATGCAAAAAACTGGACCTCGCAATAATACTTCAATTTTTCCAAAAGTTGTAACCTGTGATTTGTTTATGGTCATAGCAAATGCAGCTATTGCTGGGAACTGTGTTCTTTAAAATTCTAATGGAAGTATTGTTCCAGGAAATGTTAAATTAATTCTTTGAATTAAAATACTTCTATTTACAGCAGCTCCCATCAATACTTCGCTCTCATTCATGTTCTATTAACTAAAGCTTGTGTGACATTTAAGTTACGAATGAGCTTAACTATAGAATTTACTTTTAACTTTAATTTATGAGGTGGCATTCCACTAACATTCAATAATATCATCTCTTCAAATAATAATCTTGATTACTTCAGTAAATGTAAATTTTTTGATTTATCAAAAACCAAAATGAAGGAAATTGTCTTAGCAAAAGAAAAAGTACTAAATGTTTAAAACACTATATCTCTGCACTAAATAGTCCAATTTCGATGATTTTTTTTTTTTCATATTATGCACAAGTCAGAAAGATTTCAAATAAATGTGGTATTATCAATAAAAAATTGGGTACTTTTTGAGTTATTCGCAAATAAAATTCTGAATTCATCCTAAAAATATATGCAGCTTGTTTTGGGAAAAGTATGTTATACATATAAATTATAAAAGTTCTAAGGGAAAAACTACAGCCAAGTTTCATTAAAATCGTTGCAGCTTTTTTGGTGCTACAGTCTAAAACGAATCACGTTTTTCTGCCACCATTTCAAAAGGAAAATTCGGATGATAATGAAATGTATACAAAAGCACTCCCAAATATGATTGCGACGTTGCATCAAAATTTCAAATGAATCTGTGAAGAACTTTCTGAGATTAGGTGTTTTGAATAAACTACCATTTATATTCTTATTTATATACACTATTTCTATTTCTATTTATTGATAACACTAAAGCTCATAAATAGCTATCAAACAAAAAATAACGAAGGAAATCGGTAGAAATAATAGAGGAGAAAAAGGAGCTGAACCGTTTTGTATTTGCCTATTTATATGATACAAACAGAATAAAATCAATATAAATTTTCAAATATCTGAACCAGTGCATATTCAAATACATGATGATATAAAGTGTAGGAGAAAAAAAGCACATGCAGTATAATAAAGATTACTAAACTTACAGCTCAGATACTGGGAGTTCTTCAGGTGTGAGAACACCAAGAGATTTTACCTGATATTCTTTTTGGGCATTTACCCATCTAATATTATCTCCAACAGATATTTTTCCATTAGCAATATAAAACAATCCAAAAACACCGCGGAAACGATCATGCCTAACAAAAATAAAGCAAAAATAAGTTTAAAAAAGGAAAAATAAAAAAAAGAGGTTTAGGAAAATTCATACCAACTGTCAAACAGTATCGCTTGTAATGGCAGCAAACGATTTGCTGGAGGATGAGGTACACGTTCTATTACTGCATGTAAAACTTCTGCAACTCCTGTACCAACCTTAGCAGATACCTGAAAAATGTATAATAAATTATGATTCATTAAAATATAAATTGAAATAAATAACACCCAAAACCAAACATTACTTTAAGAACATCTTTCTTGTCTATGCCAAATAGATTTTGTAACTGAATTGCCACGCCATCTGGGTCTGCATTTTTCAAATCAATCTTATTGAGGACTGGAATGACAGCCAATTCTTGAGTAAAGGCTAAATAGAAGTTAGCAACTGTCTGGGCCTGGACTCCCTAAAACAACAAACAAGATAAGTAAAAAATAATTAATGGTCAAGATTAAATAATTGATTTTTTAAATTAAACAACCAATATCACATGTTCCAAGAACAAAAATATTAATAAATACATTACTTGGTTTGCATCCACTAGAAGTACGACACCTTGACAAGCTGCTAGTGATCTTGAAACTTCATTTGAGAAATCTACATGGCCCGGAGTGTCAATTAAATTTAGGAGATAGTCAGTTCCTTTGTAATTATAAATAATAGAAGCAGACTGTGCTTTTACGGTGATTCCTCTTTCTCGTTCAACCTGTAACCTTTTATTACCAAGTTTTAAAACATAATGCCTTAAATAAAAAAAAAAAGGTAAGCACATTATTACAGAATAAAAATGGAAATCCTGATAAAATTTGAGAGAAGGGAAGAATTCTCAATAACATTCACAAATTAAAAAAGTAAAAAATCTCTAAATAAATTTTAATATTTCTTTCTTAGACCAATAAAGTGATCTCATCCTCCCGTAATCAGTAAATAATTGAAGCTTGGATTCCAGAAAGAGAAAGCTTGAATAAAATCAAAAATAGTTAAGAACAAGAAGTCAAATTTCTTTTCACCAGAATTTAATAATGACAAGAGTAAAAATCATATAATGTATGCAATTAATTGAATGCTGCACAAACTAGAAAATAGGTTTCTGATGATAGCATAATTTAAATATTATAGCAATAAAGAAACAAAATTATCTAACCAATCAAGATCAAGAATCCTTTTAATTCGAGGGTATTTTAAACAAGAACATCACACTTTTCATTCATGATAGGGATGCAACAAATAGTTCTTAATAGTTTTAATTGCAAGACCAAAGGTAATAAATTCCTCCCACCTGTGGGTGGGACTAAGATGTACTTGGTCTACTTCTAGGATGTTAACCTACAGCTTTAGTTCTAAAGCATCTTTTAGAGAATCATATGCAATTAATCCCCACAACTTAATAAGCCCATTTTAACTGTCAATAATCATGTTTCTCTCTTACCTAACCTTTTTGGCTAAATGGAGTTTATCCCGGACCAGGAGAGAGGGCAGGGAATTAATGACCAAGATAAAATCCCCTGACACTAGGACTCGAACACGCAATCTTCATATTATCAGGTTATCAAAGTAATTTGCAAAACATGAAAGCCCGCTCGGCCACTCTGCCCCTCAGTCACAATGGTATCACTTCAATTTTCAATGCATACTCAATATGAATGTTAAACGGGTTGGCAAAATGGCCTGCTTATCACACTAGTTCATTCCGCCACTTATGTCATTAGCTTTGATAGACAAAAATCTGGCAGTTTTGTAACTATTTAATTAGATATCAGTTCTCACCATTGGAGAAATTTAATTCATCAAATAACTCTAGTTTCAATGATTTTCAAATTAAATATATTAGACATGTAGAAATGTTTAGAATCAAATAATTACCAACTCAGATTTTATCTGCGGTTGCAATTTTAACACTTCTTATCAAGAAGAATGGAGAAAAATGCATATATTTTTAAGTAATAAAATAAACTTACGTATTTTACCTATCAAGAACTTGTTTATTTTCAACATTTTTTTTAATGGCCCCAGTAATTTCAAGAATTCGGTCTGCCAAAGTACTTTTTCCATGATCAACATGAGCAATAATACTGAAGTTACGAATATTTTCGACTGGTATTTCTGCAAACCTCAAGCTGGATATTTCCTCAGCATTTTTCAAAGAGGACATAGACCTAAATTGAATGGAGATATAAAAACAGATATTTAAAAAGATCATTTAAATAGAAACAAGCAATTCACCGGTAATATAAATTAAAAGGACATTTCTTAAAAACTGTACGATGCCTAAAATTAAAAATGACTATTTCTTTAAGTATCTTCATGATTGAAAATAATATAAACTTAAATATTAAAAAAATTATCTTCTAGTCTAATATCATTTTCAAAAGTTTTCATTTAAAGGTTCAGAAGCGTTCTTGAAGGCATATTCAATCTCAGCATGCACTTCATTGAAAGAAGTTGAAAGAAGTTAGTCGACTGTTCTACATATCAATGGTGATAAATATTCAGGACGCAATCATTATAAAGTTTTTACAATCAAAATTAAAAAAAAAACATTATAATGGCTGCGTCTTGAATATTTATTACGGAATGTTATCTACAATTGTGTCAAATATAAGAAATGTGTTGAAGAGAAGAGAAGAATGGTTGGAGTGATCTGTCAAAAAAAAATTAATGAATAATTATATTTATTTTTATTTTTGCCGATGTTTCGGCCCAAATTTCAGACCTAAGAAATAAAAAATGTAAAGTAAATTTTAAAAAATTTGCTTACAGGTCGTTCTGGTATTCTTCAAAGTACAATATTTGTGAGCTTCAAGTTCACAGCCGAAATAAATGATAGGGAAACGTTAATGGAGCGTTATCCAATTATCAAGACTGAGAAGCGAAGTCATTTCGTTGCTGCTGTGCAGAACCCAAGCACAACTGCCCTTTTTCCCCGTTCGTTGAAGGCTTGCTCTATTAAATGAGAAAGATTTTTTTTGATCATATGAAATGCAATAAATTTGTAGTTAGGCATGGTAAACTACTTTGCTGCGATTAAGAGCTAGCGAACTAGAGGTGCAGATTCCTCTCTAAGTTGGAGGTGAATCTATAATCTCCATTGTTACTGTGATCTCTATGGCCCGGTATGTCTTGATCATTACAACTTGATAAAAAACAGAAAATTCAAAGCAATGCATTGGAAGCTGGTTGCATGGTGACGCTTGCTTGACGATAACTTGACGACACGGCTATGGAGGTGGGACGAGAGAAACAAGAATGGCTCTTTGAATACCTGATGAAAATCAAACGCATCATATGAGCAACAACTGCTTTACAGCCTGCGTTAAACGCCACAGAAAAAAGAGAAAAGAATGTGAATAATAAATTACTTATACAGTGGTTTGGAAAATTCTTCGAATCAAAATCGAACAAACCAATTTTTATAAAAATGATCAATGTATCAATATAAAATTTTTTTTATCTTCTTAATTGTAAACTGATTCAACCTGTCAGACATTGTAGATGTGATATATATTTAAATTAACAATAAACCAATCGATTGTGTTGACTTTATTTTACTCCCTGAATATTGCTACTTTATTGCTTAAAGTTCACTACTGTTTAATCCACTTCCGTCTTTACTCCTTATTGTAGACATCAAAAGCCGTTGTATATAATCTAGGAGACTGGATGTATCTGTATAACTTTTTCTAACATTAAATTTCTCCATTGTTTTTCTGAAATTTAATTTAACATTTCTGATTTTATAATTTTTTTTTTTTTCGATTTAATGTTACTTTCATTTCAGAAAATGATAAAATATAACATTTTTTATCGTTATGTTGCTAAAAAGTTAAGTTCTGCCGCATCAGCTTTGTCCCAGATGATATTGCAATGTGTGTGAGAATGCCATGGTACCGTTTTTCATCCAGTTTTCTTTCTATTCACAAGTTATCTCCAACTCCTGATCTAGAAACACAACCCCAGACTATTAAGATGATCTTCGTATTACACTGTTAGTTGCAAACATTCATCCGAGAATTCCACTCCAGATCTGTAACATACGGCCTTTCACAACTCAACATTTTAAATTTTTACCCATCTCTACATAAAAATTTGTTCCATTTTCTTCCGTCCAATTTTCGTGTTCTTTCGCTAACTTAAGTCGCCTTCGTTTATTAGTTTAGTTTATGAATATGTCAATTAATTAATGAGTATATTATGTAGCGCAGTATATTTCCTTAGTATTCAGTTTTTTTGTCTTCGTTAAACTGGTATATGTGCGGTAATACGGGCGTGAGCCGATTAACATCATTTTTATTTTCTTCATCTGGAGTATACATTACTCCTCTTCTTTTTTTTTTTTTTTTCTTTCTTATTATGTCATTGTTTATTCACAATTAAAAATATCTGGTGTGTCCACTGACACGACTTTCCTTACAGTTTGGGGTACACAGCCCAATAAGAAAATAACTGAATGAGTAATGCTTTAGTTAAGCCTCGAGAAAATCTATATGATTAGTTCACTATAAACACCTCTCAATTTTTTTTTATTTCTTTATATCAAGTATGCATTTCATATTTGAAAATTTAAATCAGCTTTCAGGCGAAGAATTCAGGTAAACCGTGGGCGCGTTTATACTTTTTTCGTCAATTTCCCAGCCACTATTGCGTACAGATTGCCTTATTAGGTACATAGATATCTGGAACGAAGATCCTTCAAAACAAAAGAAAAAGACGTTAGCAGCAGAGTACCATCACTAGGTTCTTATTTTCTCTTAGTTTTGTTTGGAAGACAGATAAAGAATTAAGAGATAAAGAATTATTTTACCAATGATTATGTTAGAAAATAATTTATAGATGTGAAATGAATTGAATTGTAGAATTTCTTTCTCATGTTTTATTTCTGAACTTCTAATATATTTTTTTCCGAATTCAATTTATCGAAATGGTGCGGGAATTCAATCTTAATAGTTTCTGTGAAACATTTCAGGAAAAAAGTTCTTAAAATAAAAGTGCTAAGGAACTGTTTTGTTATAAAGTTCCAGGTTATACTAAAAGTTTAACTTTTATTACTTTAAGTTCTTAAAAAAAGTTCCGTTAAATGAAAAATAGACAGTAATTGCCCTTAGATTAGAGTTATAATTTGTCTTAAATCAAATACACATGATTCTAAGGTGTCATTTGTTTGAGTAGCTATGAATAAAAGTATTTTTTTAGATCGACTTTTTAGCGAAATCGACAGAACTTTAAAAAAAAAAAATCTGGTGCGCGGAACACACAACTTTCACTGACTGCTATACTTTGAAGAGTAGAAATTATTTTATGGTAATGTTTGAATAGGTCAAAACTTGTCACACTAATTGTAAGTGTATAATGTTAAGATATCGAAAAGGGAAAATTCACAAATTATTCACTAATTTAATTTTCTAAAAGGTTACAGTTTGATTATTCCGAATAAACGGATGATAGGTACCTAATTACTTAATTATAGTTTTATATCTAGAGTTGTTAATATAAAGTGAATATATTTAAGGTCATAAACATATTCATGAAATATTTTTATATTTCACTTCTTCTTTCACACAAGTACAATGAAATATTATCTTAAACAATTTCATTGCCTTGGTTGCGTAGATTTTAAATACTTTTTGTCAAAGTTAAACATTTTTTTTTATAAATTTACATTTAATAAGATAATTTCACATAATTTCCTAAAAAATATGTGATGTACTTTAAATAGTGTTAGTTTTCAGACATTATAATTTATATTTTTTTCGTCACTCTCCGTTAAATTTTACAACTTTATTTATTAGATATTATTTTTTATAAAATTCTCCGCTTACCAACGATATATTATACTTATACCTTCTGACTATAATTTCCAGAGATTCATTTTCGACTTGGATAAGCATTTTTCTTTTTTTATCCTTTATTCAATTATAAAATTCTTTCAAAAGTTATATTTAGCCTTTTTTCATAACTCCTAACAATGAAAGATAGTTAATTATTTAAAACAAACCAAATTAAAGTTACTTTAGATGAAGACATGTTGAACATTAGGAATTTAAGCCATGTAAAGAGACATCAATGGGTAAAAGACCTAAATGATATTAACGACTACTTAATTATACAATGATACACGATGATACTGAAACTGTTTAAAAATAAATATTTATTTCTGTTTCATATCCTAGTGAAAAGCGCAATAATTTTGGAATCAGAGGTCCGTTTCTTACTCAGGTTCAGTGGTGAAGTATAAAAAAAAAAAAAAAAAAAGAAAAAAGAAAAAAAACGAACTACCACTCTTACAGTACGTTTTTAATTAGTTTAATAGCAAGAAGATTGAAAACATTCTGCTAAAGGGTGTCTTTCTATGCAAGGATATCTTCTATAAAGTGTAAATCACGTATTTTTTCAACGTTCAAAACTTATGTTTGCACCTTATTTGTTTCTTAATCGAAATTACATGGTGCACAATTAGGTTTAAGGAAATTTTCATACTTCGTATCGAAAAATATGACACCATGTAACCATTTAAGATCAATACTTTTTTTTTCTAAGAGAAATTTCTTTAAAAACGTCTCAAATTCGAAAATTAGCCCTCTTTCCTTAATTTCAGGACTACTTTTTTATTTAATTAACCAATCAAATTGGATAATGCTATCTTACGCCCACGCCGAATTACCTGGGAGGAGTAGGTTCCCATTCTTGCCACAGCTTCCTTGCCCTTCGGTAGGAATTGCATTGAATTATTTATTAGCACCAAACAGGGTTTATTCTAACTGCTTTTTGAAGGATTCCTAAAAGTTATTAAATAGGAGTGTCATGTTCGGGGTCGCTCAGTCAATTCTTCGCTCCTCAAGCGCAATGGTTGCTCTTCAAGCAGACAGACAGTCTATAGGTGAGTGCTAATTTTATTATTCAATTATTTCTTATATTATAATTTATAATTATTATATTTTAATAATAATTTCGATCAAATTGCTATTTTATCTAAAAAAATATATGAAGGAATTTTTTTTTATATGTTCGTAAATTTTAAAGAATGAATTTTTAACTTTACTTTTAATATTAGTTCAGATAAAAGAAGGAAATTCATTGAAAAATATTACACTATATTGGAAAAAATACCAAAAATATAAAACACATTCCAATATTTTCAACAGCTTTTACTGCTGATCTGAAAAGTACTACAGTTTAATTTTTCTGAACTAATATTAATAGCCATTCAGTTATGGGGTGAGAAATATTAAATTATAATTTTGTACCTTCAAAATATAAGGTGGTTGAGTATAATTTAAAATTTTATTGAATCTATATAAATAAAGATAAGAAGACCTTTTCTAAATTCATTATTTAGAAACGCAATTTCAAATTTATAAAACAGTATTAGTTCAGATAAAAAAAAAAGGAAATTCAATGAAAAATAGTACTCTTTATTGGAAAAAATGTTAAAATGATAATACGAATTAGAAATAAATATTTTAAACTTTTACTGCTTATCTGAAAAATAATACTTTCTTGTGTTTAGTTTTCCGCTCTATCATATATTAATAGAAATTCGGTTATATGGGGTGTCTCACTTCTTAATGGTCAAACGCTGGAGAGTTATACTAGATGTAACTTCCAACAAAAAAGTTCATTTCATGCAAGGACTTAATTCAGAAAAGGAGTTAAGACCAAGTATTCCCGATTTGTGAAAAAAATTCGGCATAATGGTATGCTTTACGTTATTACACCACCTGAAAGTATCTTTTATCATTGACCTTAGTATATTTAATCATTTTTCTTTTAAAAAGAAAATTTGGTCTACTTTACGATAGAGTAATTATAATTATCTTGAACAGTTTTTCAGCAATTCCTTCTTACTCAATAAAAATACAGATAATGAATTCCTAATAAAATTTTATGAGTAACGTTCCTAAATTTCCAGTTAAAATATTAATTATCATCCACGGCAGTATTTTATATTCATATTGACATGAGTCTGTATTTAACAAACACATTTTAAATTTCAAAATTATTAAATATACCGTCTAATATTCCTTAATATTAATATCCTAATATAAAATATTCCGTCTAGCAATTATTATGTTGATTAAAAAAAAAAAGTTCTATCAATCAATTTAAATGAATATAATTATGCGATACGATTCTTGGCCTGCTCAATAGGCCAATCTTTTACGATGCTTAAGATAATATATAAATCTAATATGAAATTAAACAGTAGTAATAGAGAAAAAATAAATAAAAAATATAGAATTATATTAGATGGCTTATTTCATTTAGTAACACATTTATTTTACAATCATACGATATTATAATATTAAGATTTTCCAACTCAGCTATAAATATAGTCAAGATTTCGAGAGGATATTAAGGGACATCCTGGACCACTATGTGAAGATGCAATACAGCGCCTTATGAAAAATAGTGATCTATGTATTAAAATAAATACAAAGACTTGAATATTTCATCACAATCCAGAGAATGAAATGGTTTACTCGCTTTAATGAGGATGTAAAACGGAAGGATGCTAAACTTTACGAAGGCATATGAGATGGAGAAAGAAGTAGATGACGACCCAGTGGCCGCTGGAGAGATAGTGAACTCCAAGACATAAGGCAGAACATACGGGATAAAAACAAATGGAATGCAGATTTTGAAAAAGTCAGGAGTTGCTACTTGCGAATATTGGGCTAAGGAAAGAAATAGAAGAAAGTTTTCTGAAAACAATGAAGGTTATAATTTTATAATCAATGATATATATCCACTACCCACAAAAAATAAATAAATAAAAATATCTTATGTATGCCATCGTCTAAAATAATTCGAAAATGCTTCCTTTTTATTTTAATTTTTAAACTTTATAGTGCTACCATTGGGTAGTTACTCAGCAAATGTATTCATGTCATTATATCTATTATGTCCAAATTTACTTGATGTATTTATGTAATACAGTTGTAAATGTCATTAAGAAATAAAAAAAAAATTTTTTAATTAAAAAATATTCTGTACATTCAAAATCTCTGATCAGTTTTTATATTTTGGATTAATTCTTTAAAAGAGCATTTTATATCAATATTTAATCCAAATAAATGAAAGCAAATTATTTAATATATATATATATATATATATATATATATATATATATATATATATATATATATATATATATATATATATATATATATATATATATAATTGTGGGTTGATGGTTGACTGTAGTGAATAATTGAAGAGAAGATTGGGTGGTGTCAGGGATTTTTGAAAATTTTGAGGGCGCAACTTGCGCCATGAAACCCCTTGGGGTACTCAGTAAAAAAAATGTAAAAATAAATATACTTTATTGCCCAAACCAATCTTCTCTTCCATTAAAAAAATTATACCTTGAAGTTACATTTTCATTTAATAAATATGACTACTTCTTTTTATTCCGAAAATGTTTTCTTCCGGAATTTTCAAATTCGACAAACATCAAATTCGAATAACTAGGAATGAATAATTACTATAAAAATTATTCTAATAATAGATAAAAATTCTGTTGAATGGCATTGGATTTGTACACGATTGTCGTCTGCTTGACCTCCACAACTTTTTTTTTCTTTCTACGCAACCCTGGCCATAACGCAGTATTTAAATATACTTACTACAAAAAAAAAAAAAAAAAAGTGTACAGTAAATCCGAATAGGGCAGCATTTCGTTATTTTATGGAACATCGTGTCCTAAAACGTGAATTCGAAGTTGTGATAAAACATAATTAAATAATTTTAACCATTTCAGTAATATGTCGAAACAAAAAAAAATTGAAGCTGGAGTTAATAAAATCTGTGAATTTAAAAGTGATGAATAAAACATAAAATATTCGATTCGTCATACATGATATTTCTTGATGATGCAAATCATTTTAAATTATACGATAATTTTACTTAAATAAATTCGTAACAATACCCTCTGATGTACAGTTATGGATTAAAATCTGTAATTATACATTTTGATGTTTTTTTTCTCTTTGAAAATTTCTTTCCCATTGCAGTATAACAGTGAATGTGTACTGAGCTTTCCGAACTTTTATTTTATTTTTTTCTTTCCTTGCCTCTTGGCAACACAGATTTTTGGTAGAAGTGGTGCGATACTTCTACCACTTATCCTCAGGTTCTTCGGTAGAAATCAACTGAACATTCAGATCAACGATAATTAGATAATTATGTGTTCTTAGAAAAAATCTGTTATTGGTATGTTTAAAAAAAGCGAATATTGAATGATTCATGAAAAAGTCAATGTAGATTCTTTACTTTAAATAAATAAGATCGTTATACAAGTTTGAAACTCACATGAAAAATAAAAACAAACAATAATATTTTAAAAAAAATTGGAACAAAATTGTATTATTTTAAGCACGTTGGGTCCACCAAAACGCTAACATTTTCGATAGATATTTTCTCTAAAATTAAGATCTCTATCTGTTTAAAGTCTTGAAGAACGCAGGAATTGACAGAATTGGAGAATGAGTGTATAATAAAACTAGTTAATCTAGATGCATAGCTAAATTTAATATTTATTTATTAATTTTTTGCAACTATACAGAAAATTGGAGTCTACTACAGGAAATTATTTCATTCATCACAATACATCAATCTTTTTTATTTCGGAAAGAAAATACAATTGTATTATTTTTTAATTTTCTATTTTCAAAAAGGAAATGCAGTAATAATCATCGAATTTTATATTTTTCATCTTATATGCAAATTAAAAAAATATATTCTAAGTAGTTCTTAGTAAAATATATTGTTTTGAAATTTTGTCCAGGACTGCTTTATAAGAAAAACAAAATTAACAAAAATAAAAAAATGGAACAATTCATGTTTCAAAAATCTGAAAACAAAATGTCCATAGGGTAAATAATGATAAAAAAATTAAACCTTAAATTATTGCCTTAGTGACTATTTAAACTTTCTTTCTATCTATGTTATATTTTTATTTAATTTTACTCGTATTAATGAATACGTATTCATATTCTGTATGTACAGTAAGGCCACATTGTTTTGACCAGTCATGTTCTTTCAATTTTGTTTTAAAGGGATTTCGTCCCAGAAAATAATAAAAAAATATTTCGTTTCGTAAGCAAAATTTCTTTAAGAAGATAGGTGAAGGTTTTTAATCCTAGAAGGTTGGATTCGTTGATATAATATGAATGGGCTTCCGAGTTATAATTTGCATATGCCTTCGCATTCTGGTTTATGTTACAATTATTTGGAATGCATCGAAAAAAGGTCAAAAGATTCTAGCTTCTCTTAGACGTAATTATAGAAAATTTTATCTATTCTTCAATTTTATGTCTTCTGGAGCTATAAAGATAAACTTAATCGGATAAAAAAGGAAGTAGGTGGATAATATCTGTAATATTAATCAGTTACAGCTCTGTTTCGCCACCACATTTTCATGATGATTTATAGCCTCAACAATAGATAAGTTTTAAAACTATTTTTTACATTTTTTATTTATCTCGATTGCTCATTTCACAGTTTATTGGTATGGAATTTATCTATTACTTATACATTGATTTTTTTCTGATTTCGATTTTTTTTTTTTTAATTTAGAAAAGAAATAAGTTTGAATTGAAAATTCGATAGTTGTATGATAACTATTTCGTGTTTCGAAGTTTTACACTTATTTGATGAAATAAGGCGTACAATGACGAAAAATATAATAAATTTCTAAACAGATTAGTGATCTCTGACAAACCATTTTGGAACATGAAAAAATGCATGGTCTAACACCATGATATTCCCCATGTTGTTCGGGAGCGTGATGGATGATTCTTGGGCAAAACCAGACAGTCAAAAAACTAAAATCCTGCTATTTGGAGGGCAAGTAACAATCGTTTTCCGATGTCAGCATCTGGCTCACCAATGAACTTGTTTTACACCACTTGCGGATCCAGGATTTAATTTTAGGGAGGCTTCAGCCCGAAAGCTTTTTTTTTTTTCATTAAAATAACGATAATTACTTTGGAAAAAAAGAAAGAAACTAACTACCCATATGAAATGGTGTTTAAGTGATTCGTAAAGTCCTTTTAAATGTAATTACACGAACAATAATACTTTAAGAGATCATTTTTTAATATTTTTTTTCCATAAAACATGGTTATATTACACTATTTTGGGGAGGAGAAGGGGCTTCAGCTCCCCCTTCCCTAATAAAGTACACCCTTACAGATGTATTCCACTAGAAGTAGACCATCCACTTGAGGTACACAATTTTATTGAGAAATTACTAAATAACCAAGTCCCGGTCATGACTTCAATCACAAAATTATTTTTTTTATTATGAATCAATTATATTTATAATTTCTATAATTATATTTTTCAGATATATGAAAATATTACGAAGTCATGACATTGAAAGCCAATAAATTTTCAGATAGTCTAAATTCCTATTGACCTTTTAGCCTGTTTCGTTTTATTTCCGAATTATTTGGATAAAATTGTTATCCAATTTTGTCTGATTTTCAACACTATGTGTATCTGATGCTTTCGAAGGTTTTGATGTTTATTAAGTATTGAGACCCATCTAAAGAAATCACTTGACAAGTATTTTTAAAACTATTAATAGTCATTATGTTGTGTGTATAAAAAATAATAAATATGTGAGATACCAAGCTTTCTTATTTCAAATGTAATAAAAAATAAATAAAATAAAAGATTAATTTCAGCTTTTCTTTTCAAGCCAGTAATATGTACACTATTACTGTAGAAGGTAATTGTTTTATATATAATTGAATTAATAATTGATAAAATATTATTTGATTTATATATATGAATTTATATTTTCAAAATATATCTTTCTATACTTACATGTTATATTTTTTAACATGATGAAAGTTGACTTACATGAATTCCCAATCATTAAATATTTACCTCCACAGTTGTGAGTGTAAACTTGGTGGCTGAGTAGGTTGGGATCCTCTCCACTCACTAGGATCCATGCAGAATATTGTGAGTTCGATTTTCATCTGGGTTACTTAACATTTGTTTGTCGGCGGTAACGAGAAATGAATATTAATACTCCTACTCTGGTTAGTACAGAGTAGCAACCTCAATGTAGCCATCTGGGTTGCCACCTACCATAACCAGTACGAATGGTGAGTACCTGTGAGAGAGGGAGAAGGAAAAGACACCAATCCTCATAATAAGTTCCTTCTTTATTCGATTAATTTAATGATAACTTTATTGCTAAAGAATAATTAATATGATTCTTTTTTTTTCTATCAGATGAGAACACAATTATGTTTTGTAAACATGGTGCTAAAAAATATATCTATACGCCAAAAGGAAGCCCTAAAACAAGGACTTTTTTTTTTTGTTCCTAATTGGTCTCCGTGTGCCACTATTGCTCCAATAGTAAAAATAAAAATAAGAATAAGCAAAATTATTCTATATTTTACAGGCGACTATGAGGAATCAGAAATTCAGACACTTTTCCAAGGTGGAAAAGTTCTTATTACTGGAGCAACAGGTTTTTTAGGTAAAGTACTGATGGAGTCATTGCTTAGAAAAACGAGCACTGAGAAAATCTTTATTCTGATTAGATCCAAAAGAAATAAGACAACTGAAGAGAGGATGAAAGAAATGCTCAATGACAAGGTATTTTCTATTAAGTAATATATTTTTTGTTTAAATTTTATTTCATAAATGAACATGAATTTAGGCTGCTGTATATCCAATTTGTTTATAGATAAATCTAGCATTATATAAGGCAAAAAGATGAAAAACTAGATGACTAAGCTAAGGCCTAGAAGAAGGTATGCAAGGATTTTACAAGGCCATATGTCCCTGTTATTGAAATTTTAGTTTATATTCAAAGATAATTATATATAGCAATATATCCTAGGATTATATGATTCATTCATGTATATCCTTCCATTTTTTCATGAAGATTTTAACACATTCCCGACAGTTAATTTGAAGTATCTGAGAATAGACAGTTCATCTCACTGCCTCAAACTTGTAAATAAAAATATGTAATACATTAAATTACTTTATTAACATATTTTTAAATATACCCATACAAAAAAAAAAAGAAACTAATATATAAACAGGTACATATCAATTTTTTTTAGTGTTATATTGTTCATTTTATGATAATTATGTTGATTATCACTAATAATCTTTTTACATAATGTAAACCTGAGACTTTTTTTGGTGCCCTTTCCCCAACCAGAATGGAAATTCTGCACCTATGTTATGCTAATACATTATTTATCTAAAAACTTATATCAATTTAAAATTTCAAAATATACCTTTCTATACTTACATGGTATATTATTATTTTAAAAGATGATAATTCAGTAATAGTAATGGATGATAATTCATACCAAAAAAACAATACTATCATAAGCTTATAATGTTAACAAAACAGTTTTTCATATTTTGACTTCAGTAATTTACTCATAGAATAGAGTTAAATGTATTGGTATATTTATAACATTAACACTTACTGAGATCTATTATTTTTCTAACAGGTTTTTCAGAAACTTAAAAGTGAAAATCCTGCCAGAATGTCTGCTATCAACTTAATAAGTGGTGATTGTTCCTCACCAGGACTTGGCCTGAGTAATGCTGATAAAGAAATGCTTCTCAATGAAGTGAATATTATATTTCATGGAGCTGCAACTGTGCGATTCAATGAAAACTTAAAAACGGCCACTGGAACAAACGTTGCTGCTTCACAAATGATCCTTGATTTAGCCAGACAGATGAAAAATCTTAGAGTAAGATATTTCGAGAAATACATTAGTTTAATTTTTCAATTAATTAGTATGTATTTATATCATAACGGTATAGCTTACCAACAGTTGTTGTGTACAACAGAACCTAATGAATGGAACATATATATATACATACATATGTAATATATATATATTATAATATATTAATAATATTAGAAAATACTTCATAAAACTTTTGTTTGTCCTTTTTTTCTTCATCACTCAATGATTTTTTTTAATAATATTATAGTTACATCAATTAAAAAAAAAGTAAAACAATTTTTTAACTGAAACTGGATCTGTTATTTATCGGTGGGAAACTAATGCAAAATAGTCATAAGCTTTAGAAGGCTAGTGTAGATATTCCAAGATTTATTTTACATAAATGTTACACAATAGATAATAAGTGCTCTCTATATATAGTAATTTATGAACCAATGACCAGAGAGCTGTCGAATCAAAAAAGCAATTGTTCTTATAAATTTCAAACCCTTAAAGAAATATGTTTTGTCCGTCTTCTCGGGAATTCTTAGCTAATCCTTGCCAGTGTTAATTCTAAAAGTTATCACACGAAAGAGATAAAACCATATAATATGCTCCAATTAATAAGCCACATGATGCATCACTTATTTATTTTATATTAAAGATAATTTGATATACAAGAAAGCAAAATGTAGGGATGGCAGAGAGAGCTGTTGGCCCTGAGCCCTTCATAACAAGGAGGAACAGATAAAATATTTGTATTTGTTTAAGCAAACACACTTTTATAATTCTGACGAGAATGTTTTTTTTAAAAGTACGTTTTGTTTTTAATAATATACATATATATATATATATATAATTTTTTTTTTTTTTTTTTTACCACCTGAACCAGACTTCTCCACATCTGCCTATCTTGGACTACTGCTTTCCAGTTAGCAGCACGAAGCTTAGCTGTATATCTGTTTATCCTATCTATCCATCTGGTTTTTGGCCTCCCACGTGGTCTCTTGCCTACTACTCTGGCATTCATTGTTGTATAAAAGCGTCCTGATGGATTGCTACGAGCTACATCCTCCCTCCCCCCTCACCCCCGCCATCTTAACCTCCTTGCCTTCATGGCATGAAATATTGACTGACCCATTTCTTTCAGCAATTCTTTATTGTTCCTTCTCCTCCATGTGTTATGGTTCTGGTCCCTTTTTTTTTTTTTTTTTTTTTTTTGCCCCCTTCCTGGCATTTTTCCCATACGGGGTTTCAGCAGTGCGTTGATATGTTGGGAATACGTACCGCTACTACTGCCAATATTTTTAATACTAATGCTTTATTTTATTTTATTGTCACTGTGGTGCAGCCCGGTGCACGGGTGTGCGCCTTATGGGACCGCACCTTAGTCTTCAGTTGGTTGCGCATCTTGCCCTCCTGGGTAGTTACCTCCATCAGTTTGATGCTGCCTCTTTGTTATGGCCTGCTCGTGGAACTCATCTCCCTATTGAGAAGTGCGTAGGTTCCACGTTTTGCCTCCATTTTCTCACGAACTCTACGAAGTGGGGGTATTTATCCTCTTCCATCAGTTGAGGAAGATGCTCTTCGTCTAGGGCGTACAGTCCCGTCCTCCGCATCAATATGCCTCTGGCTTGCTCCTTCGCGGTGCATGATATAACCACGTGCTCAGCCGTATCAGAGGCACCGCAGTCGGGACATGAGGGGTCGATGTTCTTATGGTTCTGGTCCCATATAGGCCCTGTTATCTTACAGAGAACTTTTCTTTCGAATCTCTGAATTCTGGCTTCAAGTGCGTCAGATAGAGCCCAGGTTCCCAACCGTACAGCAAAACTGGCTTAATCACGGCGTTGTACACCCTTATTTTTAGATTTATGAAGATTTTTCTGTTCCCTTTTAAGAGAGAAGAAAATCTGTTCGCACTTGTTATACGCTGGTCTATCTAGCCGAGATATTTGAATCTGTCTACTTTCAGGAATGACAAAGAGTCTACGCAGATCATGTTATTAGGGTGAATTTTTCGGCTAACTCTCATGTATTTTGTTTTATCTAAACACAAACACACACACACACACACACACACACACACACACACACACACACACACACACACACACACATATATGTATATAATATATCTTATATTTATATAAGTTATATATAATATAAATATTATCTTATATAATAATATATAAGTTATATATTTATATAATATATAACTTATATATTATTATATAAGATAACTTTATCTCATTTTTTTTTTAATTTTATGAAATTCATTTGATATTTGTATGAATAGTTGATTTTACTTTGTTATTTTAAGGTGGTAATGCACGTTTCAACAGCTTATTCAAATTCGCAATTTGATGAAATTGTAGAAAAAGTTTATCCAGTTCATGAAGAATTTAACTTGATTCAGTTGGCAAATTCGATTGATAAAGATACAGCTTCAAAAATTACAAAAAAGTAAGTTTAAATAACATTAATTTTATTTCTGAAACCTGTTGGTCTATAAAGCATACTTCCTGAACTACTTGTTAAATTATTATAATTAATTTTAGTTTAATTTGAAAATTGAGTTAAAATAAAAAAGGAATGACAACAATCACTAGAATTTTTTTGTACATAACTATGTAAGAAAGTAACTATAAACTATCCCCAAAAATGAATAATTAATACATAAACCAAAACTAATAAAATTGCAAGTTGGCTATGTTTTGTTTTCCCCAAGTTCTTATAATGCAATAGTATTTTTACTAACTACATCTCTTCTTCCAAGTCTTCCTCCATTTATGTTCCTCTCTATGTGGAGGCAACTTACATCTTGGAGGGTTTCATTCTGAAAACTCTGGATTCATTATGTGTCTAAAGTATCATGATGAGGATTTCCTGAGAAATGGCTGTTGGAACACATAAGGGGTCCATAAGAATAGATTATGATAAGAACTACTGGTATTTTTGAAAAATCGATTTTTTTAACTTACTCTATAATGTTTAAATTTAATGAAATATTATTATAAAAACAAAATAAAATTTGACCAATTTTTATTCTTCTAATTACATGGAGGTTAGGTTAGATATAAAACATTTATTAATAAAATATACTATTTTAATGTGAGCTGATTTTACAATTTTTTTTATTTGATCTAAAATTTCTTTTATTAATTGAAATATTTATACATTTCATTTCTATCCTTTTCATTCCATTTCATTTTTATACTTTCTCTTCTATAGTTCTGGACTTAGGCCAAATTGTTGACATATATCACAATAATATTTTTCAGTTTTATTGCATATTACAAGTTTTTTTCCTGCAACCATAGTCATTACTTTAAGTCCATAAATGGTCAATGATATCTCTACACACCTCTCAAATTAAGTTGTTGAAATAAAATTCAATCGATAATCATAATTTTTGCTTTTTAGATTTATGGATCTTTGTTATTCATATATTATTTTTTATCTTTGTTGATTCATAACTGAGTGGGGTAGCTCAGTGGTAGGGTACTCAGCTTCCAATGCTCAAGCTGAGTTCGAATCCCAGCTAATGGCAGAAAAATTATTTATTCTGTTTCATTGGTTGTGGGGTGATCCTGGGGTAGATAGACCCTCCTGTGTCATAACCCAGCTTCTACGAAGTGGGTACTCTTATTTAAATAATTGATTAAGGGGAAAACCTGGTGGTTGAGCGTGAACCTGGCATAATTCCCTCTCTGCACAACCATTGGCCTTGAAACAGTATTTTCTGTAAATAGTACTGAACCCAAGATCCTTAATGTGTTGTAATGGCATAGGTTGATCCATAAGTATGGAAATATCATACATAAAAGAAATATTTCTATATTTGAAAGAAAGAAAGAAAGAAAGAAAAATAACTTTATTCTGGGACACAGTCCCTTGAGAATAACAAAATAGAACAAAATTAAAATATTACATCTGGCCAAAATAAAATAAATCGAAAAAATATTTGTATGCATATACTTAAATATGAGCCAGTTTGAGAGAAGGATACTAAGGAACATCCTGAGACCAATTTTTTATAATAAAAATTATTGATTCGGTATAATCAATACAAGGACTTGAATATCTCAGCCTGCATCAGAATTCAAAGATTGAAGTGGTTTGGTAATTTAATGAGAATGGATGAAAACAGGATGCCAAAAAGGCTTTATGACGGTAGACTAGATGAAAAGAGAAGTAGAGGGAGACCTAAGGGCCGCTGGAGAGATTGTGTACTTCGTGATATATCTAATTATAATATTAAAGATGAAATGAAAATTGATGATGCAGATGAAGATGAAAAAAGTCCATGCAATGGATACAGAGAAGTTGAAAAGGCCAAGGGCTGCTATATGCACCTGTTGAGCTAAGCAAAGAAGTAGAAGATATACTTAAATAGGAGACAGGCTGGAGTTGATTTCTGTAGGTAGCCCCTCATCCTAAAATTCTGATTAAGATGGTAGATTTTGTTGGTTTTTATTTACTATTAAAGGTTGCTATGATGGTTATGCAAGTGGACTTTTAATGTCAAGTATGAATTTTTTTAAAAATAATTAATATAAATTATTTTTCTACTTTTCAGTGTTATTGGTGATTCTCCTAATACTTATGTCTTTACAAAAAGAATAACTGAGGATATGATACAGCGGAAGTATTCTGATCTCCCTGTTGGGATCTTCAGACCTGCTATTGGTAATAAAATGTATCAGTTATAAAATGAGCAGAAACAAGATTTACTTTTTATTTACACAATTTGTATTTATCTCTACTTATTTATTTTTCAAGTAATATATATAGTTTACATAGTATGAGAAGAGAATCAATTAGTATTATCTGTAACTACTTTACAATAAAACAATAAAAACAAATTAATTTCAGTCATTGGGGCTAAGGAAGAACCATCTCCGGGTTATGTAGATAATCTTTATGGGCCAACAGGCCTGGCTATTGGTATCATGAGTGGTGTAGTTCATTGCCTTTTAATAGGAACAGATGCTAACGCTGACTTGGTACCAGTAGATTATACTGTAAACTGTCTCATTGCTTCAGCATGGGAAACTTATACAAGGTACAATTTTCTTGAATTATTTTATCATCTATTTAGATTTTCTCAATTTTTCTTCATAAGAAAGTACATAAAACTAATTGTCTACATCACATAAATAACATTGCATGATATCACATTAGAATCACTATATGAGTTCTATCTTCTTACAGATTTGTGACAGATCGTCCATACACCAATATCCCTGTTTACAACTTTGTACCTTATCCAAAGTCTCCTATTACATGGGGCCAGTTCACTGACCAAATCGTTGAAAGTGGCAGGAAAGGAGCACCGGACAATTCCATTTGGCATTCTTTCATATTTAGAGTAAAATCTTTGTGGCTCTACAGGCTCATTACAGCAATATTTCATTTCCTTCCAGCGTGGATAGGAGATACAATAATGAAAGTTCTTGGAAAGAAACCTAGGTGAGTATAATAATATGAATCAGTTAAAGAATAAGTAAACTTTGTTTCACAACAACCCTTAAGTGGTCTATACATAAATTAAGAGAGTAACTCTTGACAAAATATCACAGCAGGTAGGTTGTCAGTGTCAGGCTCAATTGCTGGGTTATCTTCCAGTCATGAAGAGTCAATCATTGCTTCAGAGAGACCAGGAATGACTCAAAGGAGTTCTACTGAACCTTGCAGATTCAGTATAAAACAAAAGATAAATATTTACTATTGAAATATGGGATGTGCCCTTAGAAAATGGGTGGCTACTATGATGATCTCATTCCAGCTCTTCAATCAAGATTATAAATAGACGAAAAAGCACCACATCGCCCAAAGATTATCTGTGCCTGCAAAAAATAAAAATAAAGAAAAAATGTGTATATACTGGATAACTTCCTTCTTTTAAATGGGGAATTTTGTCTATATTTGTTGAGGTTTTAAATATTGTGAATCTGTCAGAAGCTTCTATGACATTAAAAGTAAATGTTACATTTTATTTTTCAAAAGGCACTATTAGAACAAACTTACTGCGCTATTATTATTTCAATTCTTACAGAGATTAAACAAAAATTAGCTAGTTGTTGCAATTTACAAAATAAGGTATGATTATTTGTTCTAACATTTAATAACATTTTATAGTTTTAGCCGAATGATACAATCAAAAATAAAATAAATTATCTGCTCGACTCAATTTATTTACAAAAAAAAAATTATACATCTGATTTATAATATAATAGGTAGCAATTTATTGAAGATTAACTTGAAAACAATATTAAATATTTGAATTTTTGTTATAAATTATACTTAAGAAAAGAGAAGTTATTTTCACATATTACTGACCCAATTAATCTGAATAGGTATGAAATAAAAATGTTAGCACCGATGTATAAATATGAAATTTTATAATATTAGCATTGATTTCCAGATGGAAAAATATTTATGAAAGAACAGATGAAGTTATGATTGTCCTAAGACCTTTCTGCACTAGAAGTTTCCGTTTTAGTAATGAAAATGTGCAGGATCTGTGGAGAAGACTGAACAAAAAGGACAAACAGTTGTTTCCCTTCAGCCTTCAAAATTTTGATTGGAGAAATTACTTTGATATTTATCTTCAGGTATTGCTATTTTTTTTATTAATACAAACAGCATTTTAAACTTTATAATAGTTGCAACTACTTCATGCAAACATTAATTTTTACTGTTTTTTTTTTAGGGTGTAAAAATTTACATGATGAAGGAGAAAATAGACCCTAAGGCTGCTGAACAACGATCTAAAAGGTAATTTTATTAATGAGGAAGGAGATGGTCGGGGGTGGTGGTCATAAAAAGCCTTAGATAGTGAAAAAAAATATTTTATTTCAAGCCAAGGTTTTGACCCGACTTTGCAGGTATTCTTCAGAGGCGTTGAAACAGGTTAAACCAAAACTCCATGCTACATACATGTACTTTAAGAAGACCTACAAAGTCGGGCCGAAATGTTGGCTTGAAATAAAATAGTTTTTTCACTATCTTAGTCTTTATATGACCACCATCTCGAACCATCGCCTTCCTCAAAAATATACAATGGTAAACCATCAACTATTCAGTAATTTTATTAACATTTTTTGCCAGATTCCTACCATTTATAAGTTATAAGTTAACTTGTTAACACAATGATATTAATGTTTGAATATTCACAATTTTTTTTCAGTTTTAATTAAAATTTTAAGCTGTAAATTAAGTCTGTGGTAGCCGATCATGTTAGGACAGCATACCAGTATTCTCTCATCTAAAGCTGAAGATTATCATTTTGAATCCTCTTTCGGCGAGTTGATGTTTTACTTTGTGATCTAGCCTTCCTAATCTTGCTATAAAAGGCTATTAGCTGCAGAATAACTCCTTTATCTATTCTAGATGAAGTACATACAGACATTGAACAAAGAAAAAAACAATATTATTTATTATAACCCTTCAGAGGAAATTTGAGCAATAGTCAAAACAATCATTTTCAAGTTTGAATTAGAGAAACTTTTACGAACCTTATTATACAACTCTAGAAAACCACTGGAATGGGGAGAAATATTTGTTTATTTTACTTGTGAAGTTGGTGGCCTGGCTTTGTAAATGGATTTTATTTTTCATGATTTTTACTTTCTTTATTTAATTATTTTTTTCAAATGAGGCAAGAGATAATCCGGTGTGGCTATTATAAAAAAAAATGTTAAATTTTTTTTTTTATGACCACCACTTAGACCATCTTTATCTCAATATTCTATACTATAGTCAGCTATTGAGTATTCAATATTTGTATCTAAATTTTGTTGGAATATAAGTGACAGATTACCGAGGCTATGGTGGACAAGTGTGTTAAGGCATCACCTTAGCAATCTGAAGTAAGAAACAGTACCGGTTTGATTCTGGCCTGGTTAAGTTGAAGTTTATTTCATGGCGGACACCCAGAATGAACCTGAATCTTCCTTAAGGTTCTGGTTAAAATAGGTTGGTTACATGGAAGATAAAGCATCCCTTAGTCTGAAAAAGGATAAATAGGAAAAAAAAAATGACAGACCACATAAAACTCATTATCAGTTCATTTGATTTATTAAAAAAATTAATTGATATTGCATATTACATACATTTTAAACCATTAACTGAATATTCTGTACTATTAATTTTCACTTAACCATTTCATTTTGAATCTTTTAAATTTAATACAAATCTCTTACCAACTTGACGATAAAAATCGCTTATGTCTAAGTTTTTGAATTTGTAAAGTTTTAAAATTTGTGCTTCTTGGTAAAAAGTCGAGAGCATATGTTGCTACTTAATAGTACTTAAAAATTCTATGTTTAAAATGTTATTGAAACATCAGTTTAAAATTTATAAAGCTTAATAAATTTCAAAAAGAGTGAAGGTTTTGATGTGATGATTTCTACAAGTCCCAGAATAAAATTTACTTTCTTCTCAAGATTATTAGGTGATTAGGAGCTTAAATATATAATACAATTATGTCATTATGTATAAAAAATTTTATTTTACAGATTCCGCTTCTTTCATTACACCCTCATTTTCTCAATGATATCATTTTGGAGTGGAATAATTTTTGTGATCAATAAATTTTATCTACAGTTCAACAAAAGTGTTTAATGTCGTCCTAATGGTATTGATGTATTTGAAAATGCACAAATAGTTAATCATACCATTCATGAAATATACATATGTATGTCTTATTTATATTATATATTTATTATGTTTACTGTTATCTTTAGTGTAATTTATTTACTTATGATTAAAATTAATTTTATGTTTTAGAATGTCTATTATTAAATATGGTAAAAAGAAATATTTTACTGTGTAAATGCAAAATAGTAACTTGCTAGTCAATTATTAAAGATAAATAAATAGAACTTTTAGTTTTAATTTTAATTTATTTGTTTTTATAAATATAATTGACTTAAGAAAAATGGGTATTGATGAATGTGGAATGTAATCAGATGTTATTAATGTATATCTTCTACATTTTATGTAATTCATTTGCTTAAGTAACAAAATATCATATCTATTTTTAAAAAGAACTGAGGTTACTGAAATATATGGTATATCTTATGTAACTTAAACAAATATTTAAGAATAGATTTGAGTACTCTTTGAATAAATGTTAATTGATTGATCATTTAAATAAAAAATGTATTCATTATTTCTTTATTTATTGTGTAAGTTATTTTACTTCACTTATGACTTTCTTTATACTATATTTATTCTCCATTGTTTTGCATTTATTTTGGATAAATTATCGTGGTTTTTGCACTTGGTGATTTAACAGTCATTAACTTTTTGAGTCAGCAGCAGATTTTATCAACTTGGGGATTTTATTTTTAGGTTCCAATAAAACCAATCTAGAATTTAGTAATGAATTTATAATGCTACTGCATGTGTCTTTGTCTGTTTAAGAAATTGGTGAACTGAGACCATGAAATAAAATTTAGAACATTTATTTTGTCGATTATTTTCTCTTTGTAAGTGCAATCCATTTTAATTTTTGTAAATACAAATAAGAAAATTAACAATAAGGTCAGGTTAGTGAAGACCAAATTTGACTAAAAGAGCCATTTGTTAACATCACCAAATTTATTCCTCCGCTTCAAATTAATAATTTATAAAAGTGTCCTAAGACGCCTTTTCATGAAGCACTAATGCTAACAAATATATCGGCATAAACTCCAGCAGTTTCAGATCAGTATCCTCCTCAGATGCATTGTGAGACATACTTCACTAAAGAGAACAAAAACACATATATTTCACAAGATCCTTGAACTTCCGACTGTGACAGACTTTATTATATGCTGGTATACAAATTGATAATGGCCATTAACTAGTATAAAGCAAATCAACTTGTTAGCTCACATCACTGGAATAACATTCTCATTAACAAAGTTTCCCACCAATTCCTACTCCTCATAAACTCCATAAAATGCATCCTATGCAGAACAGGGGATTCCATCCATCCATTAAAGGCTATGAACAGAAAATAAAAAAAAAATAATAATCAATGATATCAGTAAATTTTGGTAAAACAGTGAAAGATTGATTGTGGGCGGGGTGTCAGAACGGGCTAACGCGTGTGCACAGCACCGCCGTTGCCCGGCAACCTGATAGGATCGCGTCCCGGTGTCGGGAGAGTCCTTTAAATCCCTGTCCACACTCCCTGGCCCGGGAAAACCCCGTATAGCCTTAAAGGCGAGGACCCTCCCCAAAAAAGTGCAAGATTGATCATAGATTAGAGTTAATAAAATATGTGTAGATCTGTTAAAATATTAGACAGTGGTGACCAAGAATGTTGAAATGTTGCCTGACAAAATTAATCTTGACCTTTTTTCTTTGGTGGCAATAGGTTTGATTATACCACTAGAACATGGTTTTTAAATGTGAGGGTTTGATTGCACCACTAGAACATGGTTTTTAAATGTGAGGGTTTGATTGTACCACTAGAACATGGATACTTATTGTGAGGATGTGAGAGAGAATTATCTGGGGTGTAAAGATTAAAAAAAAAAATTGAATGTGGTGACTGTGTTACTAAAACTGACGACCTAACCATTAAAATTTAAATATTGATTTTTTATGTAACACAATAATATATATGTATATTATAAATAAATCCTGCATTGTGCAATAAATGTTTTTTGTTGAAGAAAAAATGTGCACACATTTTTCAAGGGATGCAAGAGCTTTTTTTCAGATTCAAGGGGATGCATAACACAAAAACAATAAAGAACCATAGCTCTAGAAAAACCCATAGGCTTAAAAAATAAAAATATAAACAATTAAATAAATTGTGATAATCTTAATTCAAAAGATACTTCTTACATCTTGACATCTTTCAAAGTTAAATAAGTTCTTAAAACGATTTTTCCGATGTGGAATAGATATATTAAATTTCTTTAAAAAAGGAATAATCTAAAAAAAAAAAAATTAAATTCACATTTATTTTTATTTACATCGATAATATGCTTAAAAGATTTACCAGATGGACATTGATGTAATATTTTATAATAACATGGTTTTTATTACATCAACAGGTGATACAAATTTAACATAAACAATGATACAACAGCTTTTTGAAGAACAAAAACAACCACAACAATAGATTTACAACATTTAGTGTTGTACACACAACAATAAATAGGAAGGAGCTGTATACTCGTAAAAAGGTAGAACATGGACCAAGATTCTAAAAGTAATGTTTTATGAGGTGAATTAAATTTTTTTGAAAAAAAAATATCATATTCTTTGGAACAATGCCTTGATATAACATTAAATAAACAATAAAACAATATACTTGGAAGAGAAATACATACATTGAAATATACATACATATTTTATAAGTTTTCTTAACATTTGTATTATTGGCACATAGATAAAGTATAACAAGATTCATTATTATTTTTTTTAAATTTAATCATTACATTTTTTCATTAAACAACAAATAACACCAATGAGTTAAGAGTGAATTTTGCTCAATTTTCCAAGTGTAGATTAAGGAAATAACAATGTTAAAACGTTCACACAAATAATGTTTACATATATATTTTTTTCATAAGTGTTGATAATGAGACAGTAATAAATAAAATAAAAATAAAAATTGCATAAAAACAATTATTCAATAATTACATCATAATAATTATCATGAATTTATTATAACGAATAATATAATTTTCAATATTAGCAAGAGTAATACAGATAAAAAATAAAATGTTATATTTTAAAAATAAAACATAAAATAAAATGGTACCATAATATTTAGAAAATGAGCATTTTAGTTAAGAAAAACTTGACTAGCTTCGAACACAACTCAACGATGCTGTTTCTCCTAGAGCGTTCGGAAGTGGCAAGCAAGGAAATGAATTGTCTTGCAGCTGGAACTACTCCTTTCTTCCACTGATGCCTAGAAAGGCTGAGATGAAATCTGTTAAGCGGAGTAATATCATGGCCAAGAGTCATAATTAATGCCTGCACATAATGTTAAATGATATTGTCAGTAAGCAAACATTTTTAATTTAAATAATCATGGGTTAATGGGTGACTGTCGTGAATAATGAAGAGAAGGATGATTGGGGTGATCAGTCAGAAATAAGAAGGAAAAATAAATAATAATATTTATTTTAACATTTGCTGACGTTTCGACCTGAAGTTCAGGCCTTCATCAGGGCTAAGAAAAGAACCAGATAACAATGTATGAGAAACATGAATAATGTAGGTAAAAAAAATTTAAACTAAAATGAAGTGGGTAGAATAATGACAATAGTAAGAACTAAGAGATAAATAATAATAACCGTTACAAAGTGTGGAATGATGAAGTAAACATAATCAAAAAAGGTGTTATAAGTATTAAAACGGTAATCTTAGAATAAAATGTAAAACAGAAAAAAAGGAATATGAAGTTATATAAGAAATGAAAATAAATAATAAAATTAAGAAATTGCAAATAGAATAGTTAGATAGAAAATTGAGATATTGTAAAGTCTATCACAATGTACTGACAACGTAAAATATAATAAAGGGTTAAAACAGAGAAAAGGAATGAAAGCAAGGAGAGAAAAAAAAAACGAGAAGGAAGAAATGAGAAAGAAAAAAGAAAAAGGAAACCAACATGCTCATTGCTGGAGTACAATGAAGATATGGTAGCAAGGGAGGAGATGTATAGTGGCGTCATCTCTAACGGTTGTCTGACGAAGTTTGAACTAAAGTACTGGAAGCGTAAATAATGGACGAGAGATATATTACTCATAAATATTATGAATAATTAAACGAAATTACATTTTATACATACTGTTTTACATTTTATTCTAAGATTACCATTTTAATACTTATGTCACCTTTTTTGATTATGTTTACTTCATCATTCCACACTTTGTAACGGTTATTATTATTTATCTCTTAGTTCTTACTATTGTCATTATTCTACCCACTTCATTTTACTCTAATTTTTTTTTACCTACATTATTCATGTTTCTCATACCTTGTTATCAGGTTCATTTTTTAGCCCTGATGCCCTGATGAAGGCCTTAACTTCAGTTGGTTAAAAATTCTAGTAGAGCTTAGTAGCATTGCAATTGCTATTTCATGAATATTCGAGTGAGCCATGTTTATTTTTTGTTCAAATCCCAATTTTAAATGATAGTTAAAAAAAAAAAATTCTTTGTATGATAAATGCAGTGATATGGGAGTTTAAAATATGCAGAATAAAGAGAATCGCATAAGGAAACTCATCAACCTGTTTCTCAAAATTGAATGTGCCATAAGGTGGATCCACAGCTAATGTAACAGTATAAATAATTACATGCCACAATCAGACTCGAACTCAGGTCCCACAACATAGGAACACAGTGCCTTACTCAATGAGCCAACCCAGAATATATAAGAAAATAAATCAAATTTATTAATTGTGTGACTTACAATACTCTAAGGAAAATAATCTAAGGTGCACTTATCAACAACTTCTGATTCAGGAGAAAGTTAAAAACAAGATGATGTGGTCTAAACAGGGTGAACAAAGAGTTTTATGCTCTATCCTAAGATGGCAAAATCAATATAAAAAAAGCAAGTAATGATAATTTTTGGTAATTTCAAGTTTAATAAACCACAAAAATTGTTTAAGAGTTTAAATCCTTTTTTTATAATACATAAAATATCAATAATTTTTAAGATACCCTCAAAGTTTCCTTACTTAGAATGATTACAAAGCTTTTAGTAAAGAAACTTCACATTAGCAATTTTAGATTACTTTATTCTTTAATCTTTTAAAGATTTTGATATTGTTATTTCATCAAAAACTAACTCATGAATATATGTTTCAACTCGGTAGTTGTAAAATGGTAAAGATTATTTCCTGTAAACTCTTATTACAAATTCCACCTAAAGTTTTATCACGACTTTTTCAGCAGTTTAGCAGAATGAGGATCACAACAAAATCTTTAAAAATGACTTATTTGTCCAACTCAGAACCCAAAACAGGTAAATTTAAATTCAAATAAACTTTTTATAGAACCTTCCAGTGAGTTAGTAAAAGTGAATAAACATAGAACACTTGTTACCCTATTTATTAATACAAGTAATATAAAAGAAAAAAAATTGCTAGTTGTGATAAAAAAATACATGATTTTTAAGTATAATATTACAGTGAAGGATATTCATACAGTTTGGTTTATAGTAATAGAAGTTAATAATTTTTTTTTTAATACAAGTTAGAATAAAAGCACTATTTCAAAACTATGGAAAGGAATGGTTCAACTACGAAATGAAATGAAATGAAAAGAAAAAAAAAATGAAACCAATAAATTATGATGTAGCTTACTTGGAAATGATGGCACCCTTGCCAAACATGATAATCAGCAAAAAATGTTTCTGACATTGGCAAGACAAGAAGAGACTTACTGTTCACAAAATATTTAGCAGGAAGAAGAGAGGACCAATGCTGAAAACATCATCAGAGAAATATTTCTGTTGAAACTACATTAAAAGTGGTAATGAAGATTAATGTTAAATAGAAAATATGGTAATGCCTAATCAAGTAAAGAAATATATGGATTGAGAGACTGCTGAAGAAAGCTGATTTCTTATGAAAAGAATACGAAATTCACTCTTAGAAAGATATTTTCATTTACAAATTGAAATTAAATATTGTTTTATTTACATTTAATTAATATTTTAAACAATAAATCAAATGAAAAGTATATTAAAAGTATAAAAGAACAGCAGAAACATTTTTTTCCGAGTTTCCTGTGAAAATATTGCCATGAGGTATATAAAACTCCCGGAAATTGTTCTTTTACTGAAAAAAAAAAAAAAATAACTTAATGATTTGGACAACTGGTGTGCTGGATGAACTGTCAATGCAGGTGAGAGGATATGATCATAAAATAGTTATCGAAATGGATGAGTTAATGGTTTTTTCAAACTAGTAGGATCTATTTATAAAACTGATTCTCAATCAGAATGTAATATACACAATTTACTCTAAAAACTGTCGTCATATATTGGTGTTACATTTATTGATATAAAAATATATTATTAATATGTACAACTAAAAAAATAATTGTTAATTATGATACAATAATCTACGATTGATTATTATAATAAAAAAAAACAAGGCACGTAGATTGCTCAGATTTTCTATAACATTTACCAGATATAATTATGATAATGAATTGTTAATGTACTAAATGTGTACAAGATGTTTTTATATAAAAATGTTTTCAAATTAATAGGGTGCTGTGCACTAAAGGCTTCTGAAATTATAAAATAAAGAAATTATGAGACTGCTTTGAAGGGTAACAATCTTTATTAACAAATTAAATAATAAACTTAACGGTCAACTTAAATAATCAATAAATTGTTAAAAATAATAAGAATTGAAATAAAAAACATAAGAATCTACTATAAATAATATAATGATTAATTTTTTTTTAGAATTAAAATTTTTAGAAGAGCTCTGTAAGACAGTTTAAGTATTCTTATAATTAAAAATTGAAATATTCTAAGAGATTTATAGTTTTTGATTACTTGAAAAAATTATTAACTGGTTTTTATGGGAACCAGAGTTCCGCATCACATCTTAATATATTATTTCTCAAAAGTGTCCTTTGTCAGTACACCACATCTTAAATCTTTTATCAAATCCATCATTTTGATGATTATTTTATCCTTTAAGAGCATAAAATAAGCACATTTCTCAGGAAATTTAAGGAAAAAAGTTATAAAGAAAAGGAAACTTTATTTGCCCATAGCTCAAAAAGTATACAATTTATGAGAATAACTATTATTTATTTATTTGTTTTTGGGTATAGCCTCCATACCAATAGTTATGGTAGATTATAACCATTATAGTTATAAGGATTTCCAAAATCTCTACAACACGAAAAAAAAAAAAAAAAAATCATTGAAACAAGACCATTCTAGCAAAGGTACAGCCAATTGTAATTAGTAAACATGTTTTGTTCTATTATTTTGAATGATACATTGCATTTACTTATTTCTATATAATATTTATATCGCCAGTCGCAATCAGACTAAATCAATAAAAAACTATCAATTTAATATTAATTAAAAAGTACATATTGTCATGAATGAATAATTTAACTTGAATAACAAAATGTTGAAAACACTTACCTTCTTACACAAAACTGTAAGTATTCTCGACTGCTCTGCCTGCATTGGAAGCTACTGATCCTCCAGACTCAGACTCCTGGACCCGCTCAAGCGATTCTGCTCTAGCTCTAATGGAACCGTCATGAGTCACAACCTCTCGTTCTTCAGGCGCCGGAACCGGTCTTCTTTCTCCTCCCTCCTCATAACCAAAACCTCATCATTAGACAAGGCATGCTTCCTAATTTTCTAAACATTTACAATACTGAATTCGTTTAGGAAGTTAGCATTGATAGCAAAATAAAAAACTAATCACTATATTTTGAACTTGGACTTGAATTGTTGACAATAATTTTGGATGAAATTTTAAGAAATGTGCAGCCATATCTGGAAATTATTTTTGATTAGGTTTGAGTTTTTTATTTTTTATTTTGAATTAGGTAAATTTATTTTTTATAAACAAATTTCAAATTATTTACATTTGCACTTAAGTCGATGGCTGTATATGTTACCGGAATTTCTAACCTTGTATAAATCCTCAAGTTTTCTAACAGCAAAAAAAAAAGTTAAGAAGCTGTTCACAACAATAGAAGCTGCTAATGACAAAAATAAATTAGATATCAACACTCATTGTTTGCACAAGGATCAACCATCATCATCGCAATTTAGTAAAGAAAACAGAAAAGAGTAAGGGCTTGCATTTTTCCAATGGAAAGATGATTACTTTTCCTTTAGCATTAAGATTCATCTGATAATATTATAAATAATCATCAGACTTATTTCTTCTGGAAAATAAGTGATCCAATGAAGTGCAGTTGGCATTTCATAGTGGACTGTATATATTTAGTTATAACTGAAACCCAACCACCATTACTAATATCCCTTATGCACAGTTCTTTATTTACACCAAGATATTATCAATTATGGATTTTTCTTTTTTTAAGTTCATGTCGTATATATTTGTGTGTTTCGTCGTGAAGGAATATGGATTGAGACAAAATAATTCATTCACTATATATAAGCCTGAAACTTGTTCACTTCTGTAGAACCAAATAATTTCTCCAAATTTATCAATCACTTTATTTAGGCCATTTTAACAGACAAAATTTGATAAATAAGAGAAATAAAATGAAAAATTAAAGATCACTTCATGTTGTAGAATGTCAAGCCATATCATTTTATTTTCACTTACTTACCAATATATAAAACTAAATACGACAACGTTAATGAAAGCCGGTAAAGAACTAGGACTCGAAATAAACGTGGATAAAACAAAATATATGGTTAGCTGCAAAAATGGCAATACTACTGGTGATATCGATATAGATGGTAATATGTTTGAACAGGTAGATAAGTTTAGGTATCTAGGTTCTACGATAACTAGAAAAAAAGAAATTGAAGAAGAAATTAAGGTTAGACTGAAGGCGGGAAATGCTTGCTATTTTTCTGTGACAAAACTACTCAGTTCGCGCCTCTTGTCCCGGAACTTAAAAATTAGAATCTATAAAACAATTATCTTGCCTACAGTTCTTTATGGGTGCGAAACTTGGCCGCTTACATTAAGGGATGAGCAGCGTCTTAAGGTTTTTGAAAATAAAGTATTGCGTAGAATATTCGGACCGAAGAAGGATGAGTTAACCGGAGAGTTCAGACGGTTACACAACGCCGAATTGCGTAAACTGTATCCGGGTAATATAATTGAGGTAATTTCATCGCGGAGAATCAAATGGGCTTGTAAAGTTGTTGGACTTAGTAACGAGAGAATTCCTAAAAGGTTAATATTCGCTGTGCCGAATGGTAAGCGTCCGAGGGGTAGACCGAGGCGAAGGTGGGAAGATTGCATTAAAGCCGATCTGAAGGGACTGGGTTTGGACGGCGAACGATGGAGGGAGGTGTGCAATAAGTGATTGGTGGTGTCGGCATCCAACCTTCGGGTTCGCTAAGCCTTTTTATTATTATTATTACTTACCAATATATAAAATATATAGTACTGTGATTTTGAGAAGTTTCGAATGGGAGTTTCTAATCAAAATTAATGTTTTGAAGATCCCTGAATCCAAATAATCAAGTCTCATAAAATGGTCTCTTTTTTTGTATTACAGCTAAAAAAAAGAGGAGTTAACCCAGCGGGCTAACGTGTGTGCACAGCAAAATAAGTATGAGTTCGCGTCCAGGTGCCAGTGGGTTTTTTAACTCTGGCATTAATCCCCCGCCCTCACCCGGGAAAACCACATATAACCTAAAAAACGAGGAAGAGGAGAAGGAAAAAAAAAAGTATTTGAAAATAAAATTTATGGTATGTATATGTCTGACATGTTATAGCAACTTTATCGATAAAATCAGCAAACCACAAGTGTATCATAAATTTTATACATTTTACAATTTTCTAGAAAAAGGCACTAACTAACTTTTTCACAATTATCATTGGTTACACAATTGTGAATGTTTCAAGGTTTGAATTTTTCGCTTGAGAATAAAATCATTGGAAGGAGCCATTTTTGGAAATAAAGTAATCCATCAAATCAATTCCATGAGCAATAAAAGAAAATATAGGTGGTTAAAAACCCTGATCGATATTGGGTTTAAAAAATAATTTGATACAGATAAATTAAAAACCTTACCTGGAGCCTAGCAGTCGGTGCTGGATTAGGAGAAGCATTAACTACATAATTTGTTAGAGTTACATCAGCAGTGCCCCCTAAATATAGGAAAAAAAAATAAATGCCTTTTTATTATACTTATACTATTATATGCAATAGAGACATTATCCTAAAAAATAATAATAATTAATAATAGTGGTAATAATTTTAGAAATACCAGATTCTAGCGGTATAGGATGTTGCCGGAAGTGTTCTAGCATGTCAAAGATTGATGAGAACCACAAGTGCTGAACACGACACTGGCCGCAATCATTTAGGGTCATTCGAAGGTGCTTAGCTCTACCATGGAAATTGAAAGTAAGCACAAATTCCCCTTTTCTCGTTTCACTTTGTCTAACAAGGAAAACACCATGAGCAGTAGAGCCACCATGAAGAACTAAAGATGCGGCTTCAGCTCGGGGCAGAGTACCATGAAACCAAGGATAATCCTCAAGAATCTGAAAACATAAACTTTACTTAATCATGAAATTTTCTATTATATTAAATATTCAAAGATGAAAGACAAACTGTTATAAAAAATACAGGGAAATCTCTTCTTTCCTTAATACATAATCTGATGGTATACTGAATAGGAGCTCAAGTATTTTCAGGATATTCTAAATTAACTAAACAGGAAGTATGTAGTATGAAAGAGGTAACACAGAATTTAATATAAAAAAATTATGCTGTTTAGTAACAGAATTAAACAGTGACAGTTTACTATTAAACTGAATTTTAATAGTAAATAGTCATATCAACGGTAGTATAATTAAGACATAACCCAATATTCGCAAGTTTTGGGAAACAAAAAGTGTTCTGTTATATTGTATTTTATAGAAAATTAGATTTGATATTAAATTATATAAACTCTAATTACACCAGTTTGTGTTTATTAGTTACTTCAGAATGAGGTTAATATTAAAAAAAATTAAGCAAGATCTCATTCTTCTCAATATTAAAAGTGACTTCCATTCATCAGTTGATTCTCTCTCAGTTGCTTTAAATACTATTTTTAATGCCTTTTGTAAACTTTTAAATTTTTCCAATAAAACATTAAATTTAAATAAAAATTTCTCCATTGTTAATTTATAATATCACACAAAGTTTTGAAAATTAGCAGTCACTATACTTTATAGAAATGACAAAATAAATTATATGTAAGGAATAACATAGTTTCTAATATATATATAATTTATGTAACTACAGAAATCAAAATATTTGTTCACCAGTGCTCCATATGGATTAGATGTGGTCACACTCGTTAATAGATGCCGATAATACCCGAGTTTATTCAAAGGAGTACAGTGGCAACCAATCAACAAATAACTTAACCATGTATACATTTAACTTTAAATGCATACTAGTATACAGTTAACCATGTACAGTTGCCTTAGGTATATAGCTTGAAACTATTTAGAGAAGACATTCAGGCTACATCACGTGCTCTTAGCCATCATATATTATACAGTTAGTATAGTAACATAAATTACTATTAAGCAGCAATGTAATTAAAGCTAATTAATGATTAAGGGCCAGAAGGAAGTTTGCCGAAAAGAGCTGACCTTAGAACAGCAACATTAAACTTTTTTCGGTATGGCATGAACATGTGTGAGCAAAGTGATTGTGAACCACAACTAATGCTTCAGAACTAATACTAAATTCAATGATATACATATAAGGTATTACCTGAGAAAGATCAAGATCTGTCACTTGATCTTCACAAAGTTCAAAATTACTTCCAGCACCTTCAACCCTAGGTGGAAGTTCAGGTGCATCTTCAAGCTCTTTGAGACGAGCTTCGCTGTCAGATTCAGCAGTAGGTCTCATACAGTACTTAACTGTAGCTAACCAATCCCTCATGTCATCTATATCATGAGCCTCTATGACATACTCCATATTATTGTCAGCTTTAAGAACAAACGTGTTTTCATGGTCAGGCATCTCTAAAGCAGTAGTTTCTCTAGCTTCAGTAATTAAAAAACAGAATACACCACTTTTAGGTTTTGTTGATTTTGGGGGAGAAAAAAATTCTAGCATGTATCCACCAATTGTTTTAACAAGAGCAAGTCGACATCTCTCCCATTTTTGAGTACCATCAGGATTTTCACCTACTAAGTAATTGACGATACCTTCCTTCCTACATTCTACAACAATTTTCGCCAACCTAGTTTTTGAACTTTTGTCAAGTCGCAAACTCCTGCCAAGTGCACTATTCTCTCCTTCATCTGAGACTTGTCGATAAAAAAACCCTTTACCTTTTTTCAAAGCTTTAAAAGATAGCCTTCGGAAAAAAGGTTTATGAAGTAACTTGGGGGACCTTGGCTCAGGAGGGTCCTGCTCAAAATAGTCACTTGGCTCATGGTGATGTTCGTTATGACCATTGATTCCAGATGGGCCGGCGACTCCATTTGATAAATGCCCTTTGTCCTTATACCTATTTAATTCAGTCTCAAAATGTTCTACAAATGTATCAACAAACTTCGAAATAAATTCCTTATGCTCTAACGTAGCAGAATTCAAATTATGAGAATTAACATAACCTATAAATGATCTAGCGAAATTGCTAGCAGCTAGTTTCGCATGCTTGTTACAAAATTCTATCCAATTAACACTTCCGTTATCTACAGTGGCATTAGCCATAATATAATTTTATTTACATTTACTTGCCATCTTAGTTTCATCACAACAAATAGTTAAAACCTTAAAAGATGAAAGAAACAAATTCTATAAAGAGACAATCAAACAATTCATGAGATAACAGTATATTTATTTCATGATTATACTCCATGTAAACATTATATCTGTAAGGTTCATGTCAGTGATAACTTCATTCACAGCGCTAAAAAGAAATATATATACATATTATGCTATCGCTAAACATAAACAAGCATAAGTTAATTTAAAGTCACTGGTTTTGGCGGATTTACTATTATTTTAACGCGTGACAAATAAAAATTTACTAATAAATAAAAATATATACACACAACCGGGGAAGGTAAACATTGAACCTGCCCAAGCCTAGGGTTAGGTTTCAGTGTTGCCAGGGTAAAAAAAATATCATTACTAATTCCTTATTATAAAAAATACAAGATAAACAATACAAATTAGATTATCTGAAAAAAGTTAGGATAAAAAATAAAATACTAATGTTAGCAATTTATGTGGTTGTTAAAAACAGAGAATTAAAACGCATGATGTAACGTAGCGAGAGGGTGGAACTTTGTCAAGTGATATAGAGAGACAGGGGAAAAAAGGTAATAAAAAATAAATAAAATAACCGTAGCTTGGTTCGATATTTATTTAAATAACTGTATCTAACTATACAACCAGCTTTTATCATTTATGGCAACCTGATAAATCAACTGCAATCATCTATTGGTTATCTTTGCCATGCTGGTTTAGCATAAAAATTTTGGGACTAATTTGGTTGAAATTCTTATCAAAAAGATGAAAGGCGTTGGCATATTATGTATTCTTCTTAAGCTAGAGCCACATTTTGAATAGTCTGTCATCGACGGAGGATTTTATGAACCATGACGCTTTCTGAATTTATCTCAGGTGATGACGTTCTTGAAGTTTAAAAGTATTTACAGATCTGGATAAAAATGTTGGACATGTCGATATTCGTGTTACCGTTATGCACCCCATCTACAAGCAGCAAGAATACACAACAGCTTTGGGCGGCATGGTATGAATGAACTGTTTTTTCGGCAACGAATGGCTAAGAGCTGAATTGACCGAGACCATATTCAGCCATCCGTTTATTCCTCTTAATCCCCAGTAGAGGCCCAGGGTCGATTCATGTGTTGACACAAAATAAATAATTACCTGCCACAGCTTGACTTGAACCAGGAATGTAGGGCATAGCAGACCAGTGCCTAACTCACTAATCAAACCTGCTCCTCAAAAAAGTAATACAGATATAAATTTTCATTATTAATATGTTCCAGGCAAAACATTTAGTTCCTTAAGGATAATAAAAATGAACAATAGCAATTACCATTAGATTTGTCTCACTCATAATGGCAGGCAAATAATAATTAGTTTACGAAGTTGTGTAATCTTTAAACTAAACTAAAATACTAGCACTATAAGAAAATATAAATACATAAGTAAATAGAACTATTAGACAGATAGACATATAAAGATAGATAAATAGATATCCGCGTGTTTATATATTTGCACGGCAAGCAATATAAATAATGATTGTGAAATAGCAGTGGAATAAGGTTTTCAACACTACGAATATATAATTCTTACGTGTTTTCGGAAAAGTGATAGCTGAGGAGATAGAAAAACTTTTTAAACGAAGTTAAAGATAAGGTTTTGCGTATGGAGGCAGGCAAGGAATTCTAAAACAAGGTAGCACGCATTTCAAACGATATTTAAAAATAATAAATTCTATGAGAAGGAACATACAGGTTCGTGGGCTGGGAAGCAATGCATAAAGGAACAATGAATAAACAGAACAAGAAGGTAAGAAGATTTTTTAGTTTTAAAGATTCGGTAAAGCAATATTATATACCTAAGAAATATTGCCCTCAGCAAATTTAATATAGCCATTTTACTCGGTACATTAACTAGAGACGTGGGAGCGTTTGGGGTCTCTTCAATTTAATCTCATGCACCCGACATTCCACCGTTTACAAGGAAGCCATAATCGAAGGGGGGGGGGGGAAATAAGGAAAGAAACTAGAAGCTGGCGGGTTTTGAGGGAAATAGAATCACGGAATCTCAGAAACTGTTTAAGAGTAGCAACAGATTTTCGGATAATTTAGGAAACACGGGGGTATTGATTCCTGGACAGGTATTGATCACAATACCTCTAGATTTCTAACGGTAGTGTAGAAACGAATAAGTAGGAAATTAAGATAGAGTAGGAACAAGTTGGAAAATGATTAAGAAGATGCTCAGACCCAATGAGAATGACTTTGGTCTTCCAAACACTTAGCGTCAAATGATTTATTGAATCGAAGGCTTTTGAGAAATTAAAAAGAACCAGGAAAGAAGTTGTCTGTTTGTCTATGAAAGATCGAAGGTCTTGGGTAATTTTAGCAAAGCAAATAGAGTTGAAAATTGGGATCGAAAATCAGACTGGAGGTGATTTGAGGAGAGTTTTTTGCTGAAAGAAGGTATTAAAGGTGTGAATTGACTAGTGGTTTTGAAAGATTGACGAGAATGGATGGGCTATAACATTATTCCAAGCTGTTGGGAAACTAGAATTTTGTAAAGAAAAATTATAGAAATGCTAAAGAAAAGGAAATATGACAGGAAGACGTAGTTTGACTGACTTCAATGGAATTTGATCTGGACCGCAATCATTCGTTGTGGATTTGATGACAGTGGAAAGTTGGACCTCGGGTGAAAACTTACTGAAATAGAATTTTTCTAAGGGTTAAATGAAGTTTTTGAAATGGATGAGATGGTATGAAAACGAGAATGGTATTGGAATAGGATCGTCAAAGTAGGAATTCAGTTGAATTGAAGCAACAGGGTAAAAAGCAGGTTTTTTTATTTTACTGTGGACAGATTTCCATCTGGATTTGGAATATGGGGCTTATGATAAGAAATTATTTGTGACTTGTCACGGAAGGATTGTGACTTATCACGGCACAAGGAATATTGGGTAATGTTTTGAATGATAGGTTATCGTCCGGCTTCCGTCTTCACCTGAAACGCCTCCTAGCACAGTCTCTTCTGTTCAACAACTTTCTGATTTCATGATTGTGTAGTGCAGTGAGCAGCAGGGTGACTGAGAGTAGAGATTTCGAGGTGCGTGGTGATTACGATAAAGGAGAAGATTAAAAAGAAGATACTCTACCATTTCATAAATGCAGGAATATGAATAAATAGTGGATAAAGACAAATATTTCGTTTTTCAGAAGTCAATGAGTCGAGTCCCGCTAGGAAATTTGCTTAGGAGTGAACTTAGGAGTTGGGGTGTTATATGGGGAGCTCTTGATAAAGCCATGACATGAAAGGACGATACTTTATTCTGAGAGGAGGATAATAAATTTCAACGGAAATCTACTATAAAAAGGTCGAGTAAGCTGAAAGGGAGCAATAAAAAGGCCAAGGGATTAGTTTAGGTCGACAAGGTATGATTTGTTGGGAGAGTCGGATTACAAATTAAAGCCACTGCTTATTATTACATTATTATACAAAAAAACGTACGTGAAAAGGAAGGATTCAAATCGAACGCAAGGAGGGCGATATGTAAGAACATATAGAAGGGAAAATGAATTCAAGGAAATTTCTATGAGCATGCATTCTAAATGAGGAATGTTAACAATGGGAGATTTGTGAAGGATTTTTGTTCTCAGACTTTCATGAACGTAAACACCATCACCTCCACGTATTCAGTCCATGCGATCCTGACGAAGGAGAGCATTGTTAGGAATAGATAAAGAGGAGGAAGGTCCATTAGACTTAAACCTGGTTTTTGATATGGTAATAATATGATAAAAGTTATGGAGGAAATAATCAAGAATTGATTGAAATCTGCTGAGAGGAATTGGGAGTTAACGTGGCAAGTTAATAGGAGATTAGCTATGTGAGAGTACTGATACTGGTACTGATTGAGAGGTCTAGTCCGGCAAGTGGGCCTATCCTGTTTGCCCCTGGCGGCTACCTCGAGGTGGGAACGTCACGATCTATTTCCCGTACAACATAAAAAATTGCGGTGCTATCCCTAGATCAAATGATGAAGAATGCCTTGAGATATTAAAAGAAAAGAATATACCATGGAACGATGGCGGTGGTGGGAGAAAGAGGCAAGAAGTAGAGTTGTTGCTTGGAGCAGAAACTAAGGGGCAGAACAATCACTAGTTTGCGAACCTGTTTAATGGAGAAACACCTAGGAGAGGGAAACCTTTACATAGCTCTGACTCTTGTGCAATTGAGTCTCACCATTCAGGGCAAGCTAGGATATTTTCGATCTATTACAATAGAACATTCAGTTTACTAAGGGGTCGTCTAGATGATGGCACTACCAAGAAGATAGAATCAGCACCAGTTAAAACAATAATTCCACACTTAGAGAAACCCCCTAGAGCGAAACCATCATTCACACCTGCAGCTCGAAACATTCTTTCCAGGAACATCACAAGAGATAGTATTAGGTCTGTCGTCAGCCGAAGGTAACCCTCAAAACCAAGAGCAACTACCTCAAAAACAAGTACAAGATACAACTAGTGGCACGAATAATTCTTCATTGTCCTCCACAGAAGTTAAATTACAAAAGTGGAAGAAGAGAAAAAAAAAAAAAAAAAAAGCCTGCAACTAAGGAGAGTAGTGTATTTCGGAATGTTATCAGTGTTATATAAAAAATATCAATTTTATATAGCTTCAATGCTATATAACAAAGAAACTAGTATTATACAATTACAACAATGATTAGTCTTGTACAATTATATATTTTTGCACTGCCTACTTTAAATGTTCTGTATGTTATTTTAATACATTTTACAATTTAAAGGATTAATTGTAATGATGGGAGCATGTTATCTTAATGTATGTTATCTGGCAGCACTGCTCAGGTGCTATAAACAAAGCAAGTTAGCTTGGGTGAGGTTATCCGCAGATAGTAGACCTTTGTTCATTATTGTGTGATGTTTATGTAGAGGAATAAAATTGTTTTGTGTGTTTGTGGTGTTAAAGTTTTTTAACAAAGTCTCATTTGTTCCTGAAGCGATTTCCTCATATTAAAAATGGAATAAATCGTCTTTATTTATAATGATTACTGATTGATCATCTTCACGTCGGCAAAGAACACTTCCTCTTACCAACCAGACATAATTGACTTTGCCTGCGGCCCTCTTTTACCTAGCCAGGCAATATAGATGTATGTTTCTAGGTGTCGTATCTAGTCATAGTAAAGTCTCTTTTTATCTTTCTTAGACGGATCACCTCTTCATGAACGGTTTGAACGGAAGAAGAACGCTGAACGATGGTCAATTCGACCTTGTTCTTTCCTCTATATCCAAGCCTTCGGTAACGAGCTTAATACCCAGAACAGTAGCAACTGAACCGACCGATTGAATCAGGTGTTTCTCTGGTTTTCACCGGAAAACCCCTGATTTCCATTGAGTTGGTTAGCTAAATCTGCTTCACCTGATCAACCTTACCTCCATTGTCTTTATTTGTGTTTTATTGTGTTAAATTATTGTTTACAAGTAGTATTTTTTCTATAATTGCATCTTGCCTTTTGGCCCTCTCCTCTATAAATGTAATGTATATTTATTAATTTATTTTACAACTTTCATGGACGCGGATCATCATTTTAAGATTATTAGTTATACCATTCTTAATGAGAACTAACATTGGAATATTTTTTTACATAAATTTAACTCATGTGAGTAACTATATATAATTGTATTCCACGGTAGAAATAACATAGGAAAGAAACACATCTTATAAAACCAAATTAAATTTTTAACAGTTTAATACTTAACATTCCACTATATTAAATGCTATAAATTAAGCTATTATTAATTAACAGGATCAACATAAAAAATATACAGGATTATGTTTGTAATCAGATAACGTTTATTATATCAGTATTTTCTTTTTAAAACTACATAGAAACACATAGGATGCATATGTATATGCTATAGTATGTATGCTTTTTAAACTAATTTGCAGACATTAGATGTATATGTTATGACATGTATTTTTTGAACTAGTTTTCTTAGTTCAAAATGAGGATTTCATATTCATGGAAGCTATGCTCGCGACCTGCGTAGGGTACGTACAGGCATCGATGGCTAGGGTGCACCTGCAACAAAATATTTTAAATATTATACATTTGTTTCAATAATACATTTACTGAATTTTATAAACGCAAGAGTATTAACATGGGCAAGGAGCGTCAATCGAATGTTAACCAACATTTAAGTTCTAAGAGTGTGTGGTTTATTAATAATAAAGTATAATAACTGTTTGTCAAATCAGATTACTTCACACTATCTATTTTTGTCTTTAAGCTTAGTCTATATACTCGATTTTTTTAAACATGAATGATACAGTTTCATAGCGTGAATAGATCGTCGGATTGGACACAGATAAATAATAAACGGTAGAAAAATAAACTAAAAGATTATGGCACTTCTTATAATCGCTAGATTAGAGCCTAAGTACTAAATGTATTTAAAAACTAAGTTGGCTGTGTTAGATATCAAAGACAGAGATACATTCACTCCCACTTTAGGGGCTGTACAAGAAAAAATTCGCTTTTCAATTTTTTTTTTTCCAAGATGAATACATAATTAAAATATTTACTTATTTATGTGGAGGTCTCAATAATGGTAGTATAAAATAATATTTTACTAAAGTACTTTAACGCCATATATATGATATACAAGAACATAATATGAACATAGCAATTCAGCGACACATTTATAAAATATATCAGCAGGCGGATCCAGGATTCTATTTAGGAAGAGCTAAACTTTTTTTCTCAATACCTTACCTTAAAGAATAATAATGTTTTTATGGATAAAATTAATCTATTTTTATTTGACCCATCCTTATATTTGGTGGCTGAAGTACTTAAGGTATAATGTTATAGTAAGAGAATGTGTTGTATTTTGCCCAAATTTATTATTTTATTTATTTTCTTCCCTAACTCTCCTTTCCGACTATTCGGAGATTTCCCCATGCCTGGGTGGATTGTGAGGGATTAATGCCAGAATTACATATCCCCGACACCGATCCTCAAACTCGTAATCTTCAGGTCATTAGGTTGCCAGGCAACGCCTGTATTGCAAACGCGTTAGTCCGCTCGACCACCCCACTTCCTTATTCGGCAACATGGAGAAACAAATATGGAGCAATAAAAAAAAAAAATAATTGTTTTGCTATTTGTAAGGAAGTGAGCATCTGTCCGGAAAACCTCCACCCAATTGAATCCGTAGTGACATACACATATCATAAATTGTATGTTGTATGTTAACAAAATATTCACTTCCTAAACAAAAAGCTAAACTGGCTAGTCCGTGGTGTCAAATTATTAACATCCACCTGAAACTTTGTGAATAGCTTCATCTCATCATAACCTACAACTATTTTATTTACGAAAATTTTCAGAAATGGGGCGTTTTCATTCTGGAGATTGGCAAACTTTGTATATTTGATTAGTTACATAAAACTACTAAATACTCATTTGATTTCTACTTAAATTTTTAGTACCTAATTAAGTAGACAAAGTTTGCCAATCTCCAGATTGAAAACGCCCCAATTCTAAGAATGTTTCTAAATAAAATAGTTGTAGGTTATAATGAGATGAAACTATTTACGAAGTTTCAGACGGATGTTAATAATTCGATAAAAAGGGGTCTGTACAACGGACAAGTATATTTATTTTGGAAATGAATGTACACAAGTTTGGAAAATTTCGTTTTTTTTGTTAAACAGATGCAATTATGAGTTCGGTTTATACAAACCTTGTCGAAAGATACTCGATTCGGTTACATATCTATTCGATAATTTATAAATTTCAAAATCAAGCATTGAAATTGAAAATTTAACTTTATTTATGTAATGCCTATTATATTATGATAAAGTGAACATAAAATAGGTTTATGAGTTATTGTCGAACGTGACCTTCAATTTTTATCAGGCATTAGTGAAGTTTGTATCGGGAACTAAATGAATCAGTAAGATTACTATTCATGGGCGTAACCGAGGAGCGGGAGGTGGTGCGGTTGTCGTCCCCCGATCTAATGTAGAAGATATTAAAAATAAATTAGCAACCGATATAAATTATTAATTTCTGGTAAACTGAATGACAGCCACAAGTTAGTTGAAAGCGTTCCAATATTCTGAAATAAACTAATTGCTTTAGAAAAACAGGCTCTTAAAAAACATAAAATAAATAATAATTGCTTCCTCATCTATTGAGACAATTGGTCCTAACAAAACAAAAGAATCAATCACAAAATAAATAAAAAAAAAAAATACGATGTTTGTGCTTTTTCTGTTATTTTACTTTTCTTATCGTTTTATCTTCGCTACATTTGTGCAGTGATTCGTTTTTTTTTTTTTTTTTTCCAGTAAGTATACTCACAAAAAATATTTAAACGCGGTTTAAAATATATTTAACTTTCTTTCTAATTGTCAGATACAGAGTTTCGCTTAAAACTTTCATAGTACAACATGGATCAGGCAGAAGCTTTGTGGTTACCATCCACAATCGAAAAACGGGTTGTCCGTTTACATGTATAATAATTTTATATGAGATTTTAAATATTCAAAAACAGTAATAAGAAATTAATCTGCATTCTACGTGACATACTTAAGGCCCCGAAGTGGGTATATTAGAGCCAAAGAAAAATCCACCTCTTCGCCCTTCCTTCCACGTATGTACTTGAATTTAAATATATTAAAATTCGAACATTGAATGATATACATTTTATTAGTCATGCATACAAATTAACCTCATTATTCAGTTAAAAAAAAAGTTTCAATAATTAAATTTCAGATTTAAAGACATACAAAAAAATTCATTCGTTTGATTAATATATCGATAGCTCACCACTTATACCTCTAAGTCTTTAAAAATAAAATTTTCACAAGAAAACGAAAAACTATATCTAGGTTGGAAAACAAATTAACTTGTGTTTTTCTTTCCCCATATTTAGAAGATATGACCACCATGGATAAATGCTAAAGTAAATGAATGAACATTAAATATTTACAAAACTTTATGAATGCAGTAAATTGGACAAGGTTTTATAAATAACAGATCAATATATGGTACATATATTTTTTCCGTTGACCCTAAAGATCTTGTAGATCTCTTGCCTTCTGTTATGATAATTTTAAAGACAATTATTGCATGCGGGAGGGGATCACCAAGCAGCAACCTCACGTTGCTACGAACCATGGCTTTAATGGAGCAATGACAGCCAACACCTAGATCCATTACTATTTCCCTAAGGTACCAATTCGACAGGATCCTTAACCAGGAGTGCTTAGAAGCTTGTTGCTTGGTGCAAGTTGCACCATCAAAGTTTTGAGAGGAACGCATTTTGAAAGAATTATGAATTTTCGAAGAGAAACATATTTTTAGGAGGGTTCTAACTATGAGAGACTTTCAATCATGGAACAATGTTTCTGACTACACTTTCGCTTGGACTGTTTTTAATAGTGATTAATATATCTTGGGGAGAGACATGCGGCATTGGCCTTGAGGGAAATGGCCAGGTAAGGGGCCCTAGCCCTTATCACCGATTTACATGGGTTCAGGAGGAGAATACCATGAGATTCAAGAAGACCTTAAAGAGTGTCGAAACGTCGGTGAATAATATGCTAAATGTGTTTTATTTTGACCAGTTGATCTCATTACATTTATTCTTTCGATAAAACATTATTAAATTTTATTGTGTTCCTTTCCAGTCTCACCTTTCCTGGTGTCATAGTTCCATCAATCATTGTCCTGCCTAAGAAGAGTGGTTCTCCTTCCTTTGTGTTTCCAATCCTTATCGCTTCTGGAGGATACTCTCCATATCTGCAGAATTTCCATGCTATATGGTTGCTGCACAAGACCTAAATCACATTTAAATTATTTTAATCAAAATATTAATGAGAAGTTTTGAACATATATCTAAACAAAATCCACTCATTCATTTAAATAAATGGACTAACACAATACAACAAAACAAATATTAATAACTCAAAAATATCGAACATGTCAATTTTGTTTTGAGAAAATAATTGTATTTATGTTTTTTAGATTATTTTTACATGGATATCAAAAGAATAGACGATTCAATTTATGATGGCAGTGTTTGAGAGAAATTTAAATCATGATAAATGGGATAATGAAGTAAGTTAAAAGTATTGAACATGTTTATTTCATATCGAAAAAAAAGGATTGTTTTATCCTCAGCCGGATCTAGATAACACAACATATGGATGGTTTGTGGAAAAAAAAGTAGTCTTAAAAATGTGCTTTAAAAGTTTAATTATGCACATTATTTTTTGTCACCGGAATAATATTTAGAGGCAGCACCCCTAATTCTTATAGTTTTCTAGATTGTTCGGCGTTTACTCCCCCATAAAAAACGGTAGGATTTATTGTAGCTAAATCTTTCAGAAACCACGAGGATTCGTTCGGTAGTTTTCAAGATTATCGGTTACAAAAAAAAAATGGTTTGTCCTTTCAAATTGTATTATAGATTGTCATTTTAATGGTGGATCTTGACTCAAACTGTTGAACAGTTAGTAACTATGGAGAGAACAATTTAGCTTTTTTTTTTTTTTGAGAGGAGCATGTGATATCGTTTCATGAATTTTCGATTCAAATGAATATTCCTGCAAAATAGTGAGTTATTATATTTTACCTCGTATTCCATCTTGGCGACCTCCACGCCATTATAAGGCACGAAGGCACAGCCGTGCCTTGGGGTGACTTTGGCAGGGAGGAGATCTCCTTCATGGTTGGCCCTACCAACATATATATGACCTCCATCCTGATCCATACCCGCCTGGACAGCATCTGGAGGAACTTGCCCACCTCTGCAAGGAACCCAACGGAGGGTCCCGACGCAATGGGAAGGAGGAATCCAGCCACTGTAACCTATAAAAACAATATAGATTATGCAATTTAAAAATGATTTACTCCAAAATAAATAGAAATAATTAATTAGTGGAAAATAAAGAAGTAACAATTATAATCAGAATATTACTATTATTCATAACAACTAATGTGGAGATAACATATCTCCTAGATTTTGATGAAACCTGTTTGTGAACCTTAAGATATAGTCATATTACAAATATTAGGTACCAACATGACCCCAGTCTCAGAAAAAAATCTAGAAGTTTGCCTTCCAATATGCCATGTTGGATGTGCCAAAGACATTTTATTTCATGTCATTGTTCTTACATGCCGATGAAGTTAGAAAAATGAGTTTAATACCATAATGTCCTTACTTGCATGCAAAAAATATTTATAAAACAAACCATATTCAATTATCAAGCTTCGTAAAAATAACATAAAATATAAAAAAATATTGCTGTTATTATTTGAAGAAAAATATCACTTTCCAAATATCCAAATTGGAAGCAATCCAATCCTAATTTCTGTGAAAAACAATAGTTTTATGAGATTTTTGTCAGTATATTTGACGTTTCTTCTCCTTCACTTGAACTGTGAAACAGTTTGTACGTCATCAGGGTTGCCAGGAGGTGTGACGTAAATAGCGCAATCAAAACTTTTCAGAGAGCACATTTATACTTTTTCTTTTGCGTCGTCTTGTTGGGCCTATCAGCGTAGGGGAGCGTTCAGCCAGGATTGCCACTTCTCTCTATTTCTTGCAAGGTTTCTGACTTTGACGGAGATCCTTTACGCTCCTTTTGCACGAACTGTCGACATATTCCAGGTGTGATATAATTGGTCAGCATCTAGCCCTTCTACCGGGAGGGGCATAATCCTCAGTTATCAATGGACCTCGGTGTTTATCCATCTTGATAACAAGAACGGACCACTTAATCTGGCAAACCTCTACGACCTCCTTCACTGAGGGGACTCCTAGTTCCTCTATAATCCTCTCATTGTGGATGCAGTCTCTCCTTGTTTTACCAGTAATTCTTCAAAGAAACCTCATTACCACAGATGTTACCATGCCCTCCTGTTATATTACACAGGAATTCCAGAGAAAATATGCCAAATCATTGTATAAGAAAACCAAACAAACAAAAAATTTAATTGGCTAAAATGGCATATAATTACTTAATTTACTTTTAAGTTGATGAAAAAAATATAATATCCAATACTAAAAATATTTATCGTATTAGATCAGTCGATAGTTTTGGAGTAATATTTACTAGTAGACCCTTGGTGAAAAATTCTTACATTCTATCATTAAGTAATCAAATGCCAAATTAATAATAAAATACAATAATGCAACGTATCATAAGATAAAGAAATCAATTGTTACTTTGTCGATAAATATAATCAACAAATGAAACAAAAATTAATTTAAAACTTCATTAATGCTTGGAACCAACATGTTTACAAACTTCAGTAAGCTGTATCGTTGCTAAAAATTGGCCGATTTCGATGAGTTTTTTTTTCCTTTCGTAGGGATTTAGTAATATTTTATATATCCATGGGTATAAGAGAAAAGCGTCTAATTTTTAAGTTATTCGCAAATATATTTTCTTTTCATTCATATCTTTTTACCTATGAATTTCCGGTGTGATTGGACTATTTTGCCCTCCTGAATGAGAAGGAAACCTTCAAAATTGGTGGCCCAATCTTGGGATTTGGTGAAGAATTAACGATGATATGGCTTACCGACAAAAAAAAAAAAAAATCTTCGATAAATAATATAAACTCCTCCTCTCTCGATCATAGGGGCCTCAATCGACGAAATGAGACATGTATTCAATGACAGTGCTACAATTAACGTAAAGTTGTGTGGATGCGAATCCTTTGCCTTGCATTATCTTGAAGATAGTACGTTTTGGGGCATAAGGATGCAGAGCCGGATAGTTCCTTCGGCTCTTGCTGTACGCATAAAAATCTTCAAAGCTTAATTTTTCTCGTATCGATCTACAGACTTACCACCTTTCCAGTATTGAAGCCTAGCAAAATGTTTGTATCGACTATATGTATTTTAGAAAAACAAAAACAAAAGTGGAGAATACGATTTGCTAACCTCTGCGAAATTCTGAATCCGACGTTACCCCATTCATGGTATTTGTGCATGACAGTAGCTTATATTTGGTACAAAACCGATTTCGAGTCTTACTGTGATAATATATGTGAAGATTGTGATTTCAGATCAACAATAACATTTCATGTTATTTCATGAAATAACAATAATAAGATAATATTTATTAATAAATATTTTGAATATTTCAAAATTGAAAATGCTTGAATTCAAAATGATTTTGCGATAATTTTTAGTTTTCTTGTTTAAAAGAATTTTTAAATTTGAAAAAAATATCTTTCAAGCTAAATTAGTTTCTCATTTTAGTATCTTTTAAAATAACATTAGTAATATAAATTAGCAATGACATAATAGATTAGTCAACTGTCCTGAGCTGTGAAAACCCACGGCACTTCTGTCTCTTCGATATTTATATATTTCTTGTTTATGAAAAATACTGTTAATTATCTTTATTCAGTTAAATATTAATAAAAAAAAAATATATTGGATTGTAATATTTTAAAATTTACCGCAATACTACTTGATTTATCTGTCTAAAAGTAAACGACAAATACATAAAAAAAAAAAAAAAATCGCAGATATCAAGAATGTTAACGGCCATGTTTGAAAAACTCTTTTTTTTTCAAAATTTATTTTACAAGTTTCATAGAAGCTATTAAAAGAAGTCTTGCTTAATATCAATACCACTTATTATCTTATCATAAACTGTATTTAAAGAATAGAGTAATGGGTTTTTCCTGAAAAAAAAAGAAATTTAAGTGGTGACAGGTGACAAGATATTTTCATGAAGAGGAAAACAAATAAAAGATTTGTTATCTTTGCCTTGGTTCAATGTTTGCATACAGGTAATATGTATAAAAAAGTTTATCATAAATTGACTACTATTTTTTTCAAATTGATATTTAAAAACGACAAATATTACAATCTGCCACAAAAGTTGAGATATAGGTAATAGTGATGTTACAATTATACAAACTAAAATTAGACAAATTAGTATGCGAACTTTGACATTGACATATGTGTATATATATATATATATATATATATAACTGAAGGTTCCCAACCTACTTTTAGGGGCTGGAGTAGCCTTGCGGGCTAAGGCGCTAACGCATAGCACTTGGATAGGTCACCGTCCACCACGGGCGGATCTACGGGGGGCGGGGGCTTTCGGGCTGAAGCCCCCCCCCCCAAAATGGTAAAATATAACCATGTTTTATCGGAAAAAATACTAAAAAATTATCTCTTAAAGTATAATTATTCGTGTAATTACATTTAAAAGGGCTTTAGGAATCACTTAAACATCAGTTCATATAGGTACTTAGTTTCTTTCGTATTTTCCAAAGTAATTATCGTTACTTTTATGAAAAAAAAAGCTTTCGGGCTGAAGCCCCCTCCAAATTAAATCTTGGATCCGCTAGTGCCGTCCACCAAGGAAAGTAACGCTGCCCGAGACCCCCCCCCCCCTCAGGGTATGTGAGTCCTGTCATCCTACTGGAGCTAACTCACACCGACAGGGTACTCCGCTAGTACTCTAGTGTAATTGATGTGAGAACTTTTAGAGGAACAAACTGTTACTCGGATCACTAACTGGCGAGAGCTATTCTTAGTCCAGTCAATGTACAAAAAGGAAGTAGGCATAAGAGAAAGAGCTGAAGGAGAAACTGCAGGATATAAATATGGAGTGTATTGTTGAGGAAGAGTGGCAGTTGCTGAGAAGAGCAATTAAAGAAACAGCAGATCAGATGTTGGGAGAGAAGATATTTAGAAGAAATTAGCAATGGTTTGATGATGAATATCTGAAGGCTATTGAACAGAAGAATGGGAATAGATTAAAAGTGCTACATTATTAAAATGAAAAGATGGTCGATTGATGACCCTACCCCGACTTTAAATCGGGAATCGGGATTTGGTCTAGGAGACCACACTCGCGGTCAAAGATCTTGATTATCCGTTGAGCCAACCGAAAAAAAAATACAGATACAATTGAGTGTTCCCAACCTACTTTAGGACTATGATTACATGTTAGTAATTAATAATCTTTCTAACATTTAGTTTTGTATTATCATAGACTTGTTAGCGTTAAGTAGTTATAGTGAATACTTTTAAATGAAAAGGAAACTTGGAGTATTCGTTTCAAAATTCTATAACAAATATTTGAACGAGAAAATGGCGGTGATCAATGTAATATAAATAGCATGTTGTGGTAATATTGGCTCAGTTGGTTCATCGACTTTAATTACTGAGATATTCGCCATGTTCGATAATTAATATTCTAACACACACTATGATATGAATGTTAATGTTATATTTGAAAGACATTTTTTAATGAACAATAAAATTCATAAAATGTTAACATTCCATTACAAGTTGAAAATTTGTTAATAATGATGAAACTATGAGTTCTATTGTTCGACTACAGTTTTTAAGTTACCTACATAATAAATGGTTACATTAAAAAGTAGGGAGATTTCGAAGAATTTTCATTTAATTTAATTTCTAAATTACAGGTTGAAAATTATTTCAAGTACTTGAGATTATAAAAACAAAATTAAGGAAAATTTCGGTCCTCCATGAATAAGTCATCCAGCTTATCTTTTCATATTTCAGATTAGATAAGTGAAGAGTTGGTGACAGGTTTAAAATGTCTATTTGATAATTTTTTTTTTACTTATGTCAATAAGTAGGGGGAAAATCACATTGATATTGGTCAATTTTCCGCCTGACTTATGAAAACCTTGTAATACAAAATCTTGAAATTTTGAATCGTGTTTCTTAACACAAGCGATCGTCTTGAAATTTAAGTGATGATTTTTATAATATTAATTAAATTTTAAGTTTAAACTTAGTTCTTGATCTATCCAGATTAAGAATTTGTACTCGTATACACTAGCGGAGGATACATGATTTAATTTTGGGAGAGGCTTCAGTCCGAAAGCTTTATATATATATATATATTATATATATATATATATATATATATATATATATATATATATATATATATATATATATATATATATATTTTCATATAGGTACTTAGTTTCTTTTGTTTTCTTCAAAAGTATAAGTAATTATCGTTATAAATTACTTTGGAAGAAAACGAAAGAAAATAACTACCTATATGAAATGGTGTTTAAGTAGTTCTAGAAGTCCTATTAAAAATAATACACGACCTTTTATAAATAATATTTTCATCTAATTTTTTTTCATAAGACGTAGTTATATTTTATCGTTTTGGAGGGGAGCTTCATTCCAACTTATCAACAGAAAATATAGCTAAGAGTGGTCACTGCCCAACAAGGAGGATCCAAGACACTGCCTTCAAATTCAAAAGATTCGAGAAGCGAAGAAGAATTAGTTCAGGATCGCAAACTACGGATGATGGAGCTAACTTTCTTCGGTCGATGAATAAAGTTTTTGAGCCCGTGACTTGATAAAGTTTTTGAATGACATAAAGGCAGTTATATAATAAAAGTCGCCTCTTATTCTCATTTCATTGTTATGAAACTACTGTCACCTCAATTTTTAACTATTAGTCTTTCTAGTTTAAGTTCTATATAAGTTAAATTCAATATTTAGTTACATTCAGTGATCATCTATCTATAAATAATTAATAAATATACAGTGTAATTTCATCTTACTATGATATGTAAAATATTTTACTGTTAAAATGGGACTTGTTGTTACAAGTTTTAAAGCCAAAAACCGCGATATGTCCCGGCAATATGATACCCTTATCAAGTATCGATTATCGAGCTCTTGTGACTGCTATTATGTAATAGATACTAATACAACTATATCACCATATGAATATACGATATATCGCACTCTGTATGTAGCAGCTTAATCAGATGACATTTATTAGAAAGAATTCAATCCACATTGCACATGTTTCTTGTTAACATAAGTTAACAGAGGATAATAAAATATTAAAATATACTGATAAATCGTAAAGAAATGATAAGTTTTAACGATTTTTTGCACTTACAGTAGGAATATATTCATTTTTTTTTTGGTCACAATTCTACGTCACCCTTCACTTGGACTATCCAGCAAATAGAGTGGCCCAATCTATGAACGGCCATAGTCGAGTAGGAGGCGCTTTATGGGGCCTCAGATACCCGGCAACAATGACTATTTATAAAGATCATGTGGCAGATATTCTGAGGTATGTTTCCCCTGCCTGGAATCGGAATCTCTCGCACCGACAGAAGAGCAAGTTCGCGACAATCCAGAGAACGGCTCTGCTGAGAGCTATCAGCGCTTACAGGAGTATGTCTCATGAGGCGGTGCAGATATTAGCGGGAGGGGGATGCTTCTCGAACTCCTGCGAGAAGATATGTTAAAGTATACATACAAGAAGGAAGGTTGAGCAGGTCTACCGGGAAATCTTAAAGTGAAGATTGATGAAAACCCCAGAAAATGGAAAACTATAATCCGGGAAGATGCAATTGAAGAGTGGAATTAACGGTGGGTGAGAGGCCAGAAAGGGGTCCCCTTAAGAAAGTATTTTTCCACTGTTCAATCACGTTTGGAAGGCAAGTAGGTCCTCCCCGTTACGTCTGTTATATCATCCATCAATTATCCATCAATCCATCAATCATGAGTAATTTTAAGTCTATTTGTAAATTATTCTGATTTAGGTAATTATGCTATTAACTAACATTTTTTCTTAAACTATGTCCCTGTAATATAATGATTTCTGTATCGTAATATCGTGAATATTACATGTATTTTTGTTTTGCTATTAAAAACAAAATATATTAAAAATATATTAATTAATTATAGAAATATATTTTGAATTCTAATTATTTACACGTTAAAAAACTGAATTCCTCATACTTAACTTTGTTTTCATCTCCTAAATTTTTCCGTCCTCCAAAAACTGACATCCAAGGCTATTGCCTCTTTATAAATCCTTGCCCTTCATAGAGGACATAGCTTTAGCTTTAAGATTTATTTTCTTTCTTTACGAATTCAAGTTTATTTATTTTAATTTCATTCCCATTTTAACAAAAAAAATTGATGAATAAGTAGAAATGTATAATAATTTTATTATTTTCATATTTCTATTTAGGAGTTTTCAGTATCTGGTCGATAATGGCACGCGTAGTAACCACATCCTACACATGAAAATAAATTCATGATGAATTTTGAGTTACATTTAACTTCGTCCAATCAGTCTTTCTCATATAAAATTGAGACTATCTGCAATTTAGTTTTTAGACATATACCTTCGTTTTAGGCCACGTCATATATAATCATAAGTTGTTTGCGTATTCCATTGGCCCAACTAATGGAAACATTATCTATTAATTACAGCGAGGCCTTGTTGAACTATGTATCTTAAAATTTCAATAATAAATATTTGCAATATTTTAATTAAGTTGTTAGGTATATTAAAAAGATATACTTTTACTGTTTTTTTGTAAATGAAAAAAAGCATATTTCGTTTACATAGACACTTTTTAAAATTTTATTTAAGTGAATATTTTAAAGAAAATAATAATTATCCGACTCTAGTGAGGATAAAAAAATAATTGGTACTATCCATTACTAATTACTTATATGCGTATACCTAAGACCGAACAAGAAAAAAATATTCGTATACAATAAACTTATGTATTAAAATTCTTACATGAAAGAATTTTTTATTCATAATTCTTTTTAATGATATTTCTTTTGATGTATAACTGAGAATAAAGGAAAGCATGGATCTTTCCCAATCGTTGAGAAATGGCTGATCTGTTGTATGTTTCAGGTTAGAAAAAAAAAAATTAAAATACCTAAAAGCGAGGGTAAATTACTAAAAACAAATTTTTTTTTCAACATCCAAAAATAATTTTCGGTTTAATAGGGAACTAATTACCAAGTTTGTCTCAGTATTGGCTATTGTTAAAGTTATAAAAAAAGTGTTTTTAGTTTTGAATCAATGTTAATCCAGATGTGTAAAGTTAGTCTTTCTTACTGTACTTGTTAAATTTTACTATTCTCAACCGAATTAATCAGTGGTGTGTATTTTTTTTTGTTTTTTGTTTCTGTGCAGAGATATCAGCTTACTCGTGCCATATGGACGAACTGCTAGTAGATAGCACAAACTTCCAAAGCCAAACAAAAAAAAAAAATAATCGATATATAACAAAACGAAAGGAAATAAAAATTGGAAAAAAAAATAGCGAAAATATTAATTAAAGAAAAGAGCGAAAACCATTTTCATGACACATTTACAAGAGCGATCCAATTCTACCCTAAATTGTTTAAAAAAAAAAAAAACCACACTTCGCATAATTAACAGACAGACTGGATTTTTGTTTTAAAAAATATTGAACTGTTTACCGTGTGCAGCAGTTGCGGGTATCATCGTGTCTTGAGGTTCGATGGTTCAATGGTGTTGTGATTGGATCGAAATGGTTATATAGATTAGATAAGAAACTTGGGGAAAATTATTGATAATTGAGATAGGGTTAATCAGAATTGCTTACCAAACATATTCCAGCTAATTGGGAACGATGTATTGCATACACTGTCCATGATTTAGCGTTTGTCACCCCACCACTCCTTCACATTTGGATGACAATACGTCGCCTGATTAAAATTGAATAATTAAACATTAATTTATTAATTTCCTTTTTAAGTGATGAGAAAACGAATAGCTTTTTATTTAATTTTCCATTACTTAATATAATATCATTTTAAGTGATGAATTTATTCTATGATATTAGATACTTTTTTCTCATTAACCAAAGAAGCGAAGATTGTATTCTTGTAGGAAGTAAAAAAAAAAGATGTCTACAGCATCCAAATTCTCAATTTCATTTTATGATAAGGAACACATTTCCTCTCGTGTTTTTTTTTTTTTTTATCAGTCTGTTGCAAAATTCATATGAGTTGGGCTTAACACCAATTACCATTATCCCAATTTTGATGAAATATTTAGAAATTATGCATTTTGGTTGATATTTTATCGAATTTCATTTACTACTTTCATCAATGCATGAGAAAATATATTTTAGTTAATATTCCAGTATTTCTAAACTGGTTTGAACATCTGATTTTAATTAATATCCAAGACATGTTGGAAAATGGTCCGTTAAAAACGACGCTTCTGCTTTGGCGCAAATTTTGAAGCGTATGAAGACAAGAGGGAGTTCTCTGTGGTAACCAGTACGGTGGCCTATCATAAGTTTCAACTTTATTTACTTATTCTCGGCGCTAGGGGACTTCTCTTATGATCCTTCACCACTCTTCTCTATTCCGAACGAGCATTCGAATTTCCATCCTTTTCAGGCTGTCCTCCAACTGGTCCAGCCATCTCTGGCGTGGTATTCCCCTTCCAGGTTTTCCACCAGGCCGATCCTCTAGCAAGCGTTTGGGAATCGCTTCTCGGGGCATACGCGCCATATGGCCCAACCATCTGATCTGGTTTCCCCTCACAATGAGATCAAATCCGGTCTCGCATACATTTCATACAGCTCTTTATTTCTGCGAATTCTCCATTCCCTGTTCGCACACCGGACCATAAATTCTTCTCTCTCATGCGAGTAGCCTTATTTCCGTTGCTTTGGAGATCACCCAAGTCTCAAAGTCATAGGCGACGACGTGTCTGATGACTTTCTCATACACCGTGACCTTTGTTCTGTAAGAAAGGGATCTGTAATTCAGTCTTTTTCGCATAAGTTTTTAACTTAGAGGCCATAGATTTAACATTTTACATGAGATTTGCTCAATTATTCTTTTGAACCCTTTTGACCATTTCCGAAATCTTTCAGTTAAGATATTTAGACCTCTATGGTCTCCTAAGAGGCCGTTTATTGCTGAATCCGTCCTTGCTCAAAAGCGAGAGAAAATAGTGAAAAGTTGAGTTGTGCGAGATGGTACCTAGAAGGTTTCATATCAATTCAATCAAACTCCTTCTATATATTTCTATTTTTTCTATCTGTCTATGCATCCATAAATGTATTTTCGTTGACAAGGTTGCATATAAAAACAGCTCTTCGGGCTTGGCTTAATGGTGGATGTAAGTGGGATTGTCTGGTTATTAGCAAGATAATACCAAATCAATTTTATCAAATTCCATCACTAATTTTTCCTGCGCATGGCTTAACATTTCGTTGGCAACTATATTTCAAAAATGGCTGGAACAATTCGGTACACAGGCGAATCTACGGGGGGCTTTCGGGCTAAAGCTCCCCCCAAAATGGTAAAATGTAACCATGTTTTACAGAAAAAAATATTAAAAACTATCTCTTAAAGTATTCTTGTTCGCGTAATTATATTTAATAGGACTTTAAGAACCACATAACACCATTTCATATAGGTAATTAATTTCTTTATTTTTTTTTCAAATTAATTATCGTTATATGTATATGAAAAAAAAAATCTTTCGGGCTGAAGCCCCTCCCCCCAAAAAAATTAAATCCTGGATTCGCTAGTGATTCAGCAGGAGTTGGAGGAAAGTTTGAGATTAATGTAGAAATGTTCGAGTATTAATTTTATCAAATTCCATTTGCCACTTTGATGCATCCTCAACTGAATTTTCCTCTACATGCCAATGTTTCAAAAAAGGATGAAATTCATGTAGCGACATTGGTGACACTAATCCCCAATTTTAATAATTATGAAGTTATAAATATCTTTACCAAACTCCACGGCGTTTTGCTACCAAGTAGTTACTCCATCATTTTCCATATTTAAATATCTTGAGATGATCAATGATGTACAAATGAATGTGAAAAAATAACACATTTTTTTTCATTTGACGTTTGATTTTTTAAGAAACAGAATCACCAGCACAGATCAGAATTATCGATTTTTCTGCAAGTGTCTGAACGTAGTTAATAGTAAAGTCGTTGTCATCTTTCACAAAAAATTTCAACTTCATGCTTTTTGTTAATTCAGTAAAGGTGTGATCAAACCTCTTTGTTCGTTGAGACGTTATTAATTCAGCAATAGCAGGCTGAGATGGGTTTATATTTCTGCTTCAACTAAAACGCTATTATGTACCATTGTTTGTTGAAATCCAATCGATTGAAAATACGAACTAAATGAAGTATCTTAAACAATAACAAGTATCATTCTTGTACAAAAACCAGAGCTTGTACAAATCAATAATTGTACCTGTCTTAACCAAGTAGGAATGTTGGACGATATCAGGAACCATTGAGCAGGTTTGTTGATTCAAAGATACGAACGCCGGATCTTTTGTAGAATATTTGGGCGAATCCAAGTTATCCAAGAGTGGAGACAGGGAACACATATATAACTCGTTCAGGAGAGTAGCGAGTAGACAGATTTATTAAGATTGGTCGAAGCGCAGTTATGTTGTTCGGGAAAGGGATTTGTTACTAATGCAGAGGTTGAATATTTTTTAAACAGTTCCATTTTACTAGTTCCTTTGAAAATTTTCAGGAAAAAAGTCCTTAAAATAAAAGTTATTAGCTATTACAATTCTATGACAGTCCTCATAAAAAGTTACGTTAAATTCGAAATTAACGGTAATTTGGCTTAGATTAAAGGTATAATTTATCTTAAATGAATAAATCAATTTTAATGTGTCGTTTGTTTGAGTGGGTAAGAGTAAAAGTATTTTTTTAGATCGAAATTTTGGCAAAATCAAGAGAACTTTTAAATACATTTTTTAAAAACCTTTACGAGAAGAATTCTGGTCTCAAAATAACTGAAAAAAACTAAGGTGTGTGCTTTAGACCACACGATAGAAGTGATTTACAAGGCGAGATTAATAATATGAAATACGTTTGTTTTGTTTATTTAATGAAATGTACAACTCTATATAAATACAACCATTGAATATTGAATATGCACACATTAGAAATAATGTCATGCATAGGCTTGAAGAGACACTATCCACTTCCTAAATAATTCTAGGTAAGAAGATCACGAAGCCGTCTCCTTTTCAGACGCCTAGGAGGATTATAAGGAATCGAGGAAGAATCAAGGATAGAAACAAGTGGATTCGGATGGAACTGGAGTTTATCATGAAAGGATAGATATCTGGCTCGGGCTAAATCATCGACATATGGTACATTAAGGTCTTTATGAATGGTTTTGTTTGTGACAAAGCATGGGCCATTAAGCATTTTGGATTGTAAAGATTGGATACGATAGGAATACGACTATTGGTTGGAGCCCCAAAGCTCAACTTCATACGTCCATATAGGTGTTATCATAGTTATGTAAATGAGTCTTTTGTAATTAATTGAAAGTTTAGAGCATTTGTCTAGTAACTGTTGAAGCAGTCGGAAAGATGTTTCTTGTCGTTTCAGTCTAGTATGAGGATTCCAAGTGAGTTTTTTTTTATCCAACTGTTGGCCTAAGTAGCAGACTTGCTCAACAGAAATAAGTGGAGTATTATTGAAGGATATTGTAGGACAGGAAGTCATAGGTTTACGATGGAAAGTAAAGGTGATTTGATGAATGGAATTTATTTTTATTCTCAAATTTTTACATCATTAATATGGAATATAAATTATTAATAATAACTAATTATAAAGAGGATGAAATGCTCTTTCTTAGTATGTAGGTCCGATTTTTAGTTTCTGAGATCTTTTAATCCATATCTTCCATAAAACCCGTTATCATTTGATTTGTGACACTATTTTTTCCTTTTCACCTCTTTAACACCGTGTCGCGTTAAGCTACAATTATGAATAATAGCCTATTAAAGAGATCATGAAATGCTGAACAATTCCCTCGCTGACTGTATGCAGGTCTGATTTTTATTGTTTTAATTCATATGCAAAACACTTCAATTAGTCGATTCCAGCCCGCTTTACCCGACCGTTACACATCTGACGGCTCAATCTATTTCCTACTCCACAAAAAGTTTCTAAAGAAGTTTCTACTTAAAAAAATAAAACGAATATTCCAGTCATACGTAAACTGATAAAAATAAAAGTTAAAATTTCGTTTCAAGCCCTGTGTCCAAGAAGTCCCAAATAGCACTTATTAAACGCCATTATTCTTCGGTCTATCTCAAGTCGTATGTCATTGTAGGAGTATACCAAAGCCTCGGTAAACAAATTCTTCCACCCATCGTAAGGTAAACTCTCCTATCCAAATGTTTGTGTCTGTCCTTGTTTCACCTCGCACACCCGCCTTCACATACTTGTTCTTGGTGATGATAATGATAGTAGTATAGAACTACAATAAACAAACTACGGCTCTAATCTACTTTACACACATCAGTGTAACGTAACAGTTCCTTAAATGTTACGGGATTCATAATTGATATTACAAGCATCTGTTTTATTAAACGTACGAAACGATTAGTTCATTCAAAGGTAATTTCAAGTGCAGATTTAATTCATTTAGAGGAAAAGGTATCGAAATGAGGAATATTTTATAACAATTTTGCATT